CACGGCTGTTTCTGACCGAGTCACGGCTGTTTCTGACCGAGTCACGGACATTTTTGTGTCTAAATTGGAGTAACTGTGACAGTGGTAATGGCAATCTGTAAATATATAAAATAACTTAAAAATAAAAACAAATATAAAATAATTACTTTGAGAACTCCATAAAAATCCATCTACTACTTACTGAAATATTTTGCTAACAGACAAACAAGCACAGACACAGTATTGTCTACCTCTCATGGCATGTGATGATGTGGATGATAAAAGGACATTAACAGATTTCTTAATAACGTTTTGCTCTTGAGGTCACATGTCTACCAGATGTTTCATCTATGGAGAGGTAAAAAAACATCTCTATCACTGGTTAAAAAAATGTATCATACTTTAGAAAAAATGTGAAGCCATCATGTTGCAGAGATTCAATCTTTCAAATTTTAGCTTCTATTTTTAAGAAATTGGACAAATTTATTTTTCTGAGCTGAACAGAACTTTGGACTTCTTAAATTTTATTTTATTTATTTATTTATTTTTCCATTTGATGGGTATCACTTTTACCAGACACAATTGCTGTATATGTTTAAAACACAGGTTTTGTTGTGGTAAAAGGTAAAAACTGACAAATTAATAAAAAAACAAAACAAAACATGAGCTGTCAAATCTTGTCTGAAAATTATATGAATACATAATGGCTGATGAGAATAAAACGTTGGCATCTAAATTAGTGAGGAAAAATTGGCGGCGGTTTATTTTCTGAAGTTGATTTTGTTCATTTGTAGAAATATAAATTTCACCCAATTCATACTTTTGAAAAATAATTAAATAAATAAATCCAAAGAACTTCTGGATTTTTGAACAACGAAATGGGACGAGTGTGTTTTTATCTGCCTCGTGATCACTGGATGTACGTCTGCAACTAACAAACTTTTGGAGTCAGTCCAATCCAAGATGGCTGCCACAGCTAATCAACGTTAGAAAACACAAAAATGGCTGCAAGTCTGTAAAATGTACAGATATTGAGCTAAAATATGGCGTGGTGTGGTTTCAGATGATCCCAGTTTAAGCAGGTTGTTCTGGTTAAAGCTCTGTGTGGACTGGTTTCTGACAGGAAACTTTTCTGAGGCTGGAGCTGGACAGCGACTGAAGCCTCGACTCACCAGTTCCTCCTGCTGGTGTTGAAATGCAGCGGTGACCTCAGCCCAGGCCCCCGAGGGTGTCACGACACTGAAGAAACGACAAACCTGTTGCATGCTGGGAGTTTACAAGGCTTCACTGTGACTGGTTTGTCCTGATGGATCTAGGATGATTTTGTTTTTGTTTGATTCACTCCTGGTTTATTAGTTTAAGAGTTGTTAACTTTTGACATTCAATAGAAATGTAACTGCTTGATGAATGGAAAAATTTATTTTAGTTTCAGCCTGACTTTCTGCTGCTTTGCCAAAATCGGTAGTTTTGTTTTTTTACTTGGAGGAAAATTAATTATTAGACTACTTAAAATTGTATGACAAAAATGAATTTTCTTTAATATATTTGCACTTCCTCAAATTTTATTTTATTGTATTTATTTCTATAGATGCAGATGTATTTTGGTCAGCATCAGGGATGGTGGAAACATGAATTTAATGAATAACTTTTAAAACTTCAAGCTGAAACATTTTGATCCATGCGAGACGGCAGTCAGCGTTTTGAATGTACTGGTCCAGCCTGCTTCCCCATCAATACTTGAATCAAATAAACTCTAATGTATTAAATAAAATAAAAAAAATATTTTATTTTTGTTAAAGCTAAAAAAAAATGTGAGAAACCTGCTAGACTTCATAAGGCCAGAAGTCCGTGTTGACAAATGTAAAGTTTTGACATTTATTTTTATTTATCTGGTACTTTGATTAAATTCAAACGGTATAATATAAAGTATATACGGTTTGATTCATTGATGTTTCTACACTTTAGTTTACAGCTCAGTTCAATAAAGTGGCCTTTAACGACCAAATGCTTTTACTCCACATTTAAGGTGTCACAAATATAGATTTAGTTTTTTTCATTTTATTTTTTTGTCTAAATGCAAAAACTAAGTGGTGTCGAGCTTCAACTCGAGTATTAAAACTTTGTCTTTTATTTTTCATTAGATGGAAACTGAAGCCATCACAGCTGAACTTCTTTAGCTCTAAGTATTTCTGAGGATTTACTTTTACTTTCTGAACACAAGTTCTGAAATTAAATTAAAGGAGAAAACTTTTTTCTCTGCATTTTTTCTTTGATGTTTGAACAACCCAACTGTTTTAGTCTTATTGTGATATTTCTGTGAAAGATCCAAATAAGTTTATTTCTCTTTTACGACCGATGATTCGGAGACGATTGAACCTGAAACTGCTGAGTTTTGAAGTTTGTATTTATTTTTTGATCTAAATGTTCATATTTAAGTCTGGTGGCCTTTTACCCACTGTTGTAGGTACTTTGTGCATAATAAAACTCAAAATGCTGCACAAGAATTGAATACGTGTTTTTACTGTATATCCGTGTGTAATCTTGTTTATCAGCTCGTGTGAGTCTCAGCCCATCGTATTCATGACGCATCTGTATTTTCTGATGTCTGATCTCACCACAGATGTTTTCAGGACAAACATAATTTTTAAACTTTTTTGCAAACTGACATCTCGTTTTGGGCTTTATTTTAGAAGGCGAGCAATGTTTTCTACATTCTATGACATTTTGTTTCTTATTTTCTGAATCCACTGTTTATAGCAAAGAATGAAAAATAAAAAAAAAAGCTCCAATGCTATTGTTTTTCCTCACATTTCCAAAAGCCTAAAACCTCAAATGTTTGCCCATTTTTACTGCTCATTCAGCTGTAATTTGTCCATTTCTGTAAATCAGGAATAAACTGAACCGTAAGTGCGTTTCATCCGTTAAAGCAATGAATTCAAATTCTGTTTCTGGAGCAACTTAGTTTCTGAGTCGAATCTAAAAAAGCATCACAGAAACTCCACATTGTGTCAACACGATTGTGAAATGAAGGTTGATCTTTTCCTTACCGTCTTTTAGTTTTTAAACTGAAAAGTGAGAGTAATTACTTTTTAAATGGGAAATGTTTAAAGTTCAAACTGCTCGTTTGCAGCCCGACATGCACGAGTGATCATAAAACAGACCTCACCTGGTCTGAGGCCGGTGGTCCTGTATGTTTTAGATGTTTCCCTGCTCCAACATCTCCAATTAAACGATCACTATCTGAATATCGCCGAACTTTCAGAGCTGCCGGGGAGCGTTTAAATGAAACGTTTGACACGAGTGGTCAAGATGCCCAACTTTCTCTGCACCGATTTAGAAACGGTGAGTTCATGTAACGTCACTAAAAAGATCACGTTAGAATTACATCGTCGCTCCCAACTTCACCTCAATGTCTTCATGTAAAATAAAATAGCTCACCGCTTATTAAAAAAATGTAATCTTTACAAAGAACAGAGCCTTGAACACCGGGACATGAAGGTGAATAAATTGTAACATGGATGAAAAATGTGTAAATTAATCCTATAGCTTAAATAAATTTTCCACACAAATATTCCTAAATGACAGATTTTACTTTGTGCAAATGAGAAAAATGTTCATGGGATTTGAACGTTATCTATAAAGATTTTTAGTTTAATTTTCTGGTAAACTATATTCTAAATATAAATGGATGAGGCTTATTATAAAAACCATATGAATGACTTAAAATGAGGAACTCTTGGGTTGATTTTGTTACTTTGAGTAATTTTATGGCTCAAGTTCTTTGTACAGACGTTTTGCACACCAAGTCCAAAAACATCCAGCAGACGATTCACAACAACCGTTTAAGCCACTAAACTGTTGACAACTGAGAAAATTGCCATTTACAGAAAAAGCTGCAACACAAAATCACTTTCTGCAGTTGTTTTTAAAATGTGTCCCACACCCAACGTGAAACAGATGATCTAGTCAAAAACCTTAAAAAAAACAAAAACACGTTTTATTGGGAGAAAACTCACATCAATTGTGACAATCATGTAAACTAAAAGGTAATTAAAATAAGTTCAATATTTCTATTATTCCAACTAGAAATACACAGAGGGTCAAAGAAATGATTACCGTACTCAGTGTGTGTTTTGAAGACGAAAAAATATTTTCCATGTTTTAATTTTCCCAGCCTGTGCTTCATTGGACAGTATTTTAAATCAAGACAACCGTGTATAAAAGCCATCTTGGTTGTTTTTATTGTTCGTTGGAGACTTTGCGTCCAAGTTGTCCATCTCAAAGTTTAATATCCGGTAGTGCAGTGTTTATCTTAAGACCCAAGAGGATGCTGTGGTTTGTTGCGTAGTCCAAGCAGACTGCTGGTGAGACCGAGTCTAAAAAGAGTTGCGTCCTTCTGTGGATCGATGATGCTGAGCCAGCTTTCCGTAGCCGCCTCTGGCTGGGTCATAGTCCTGCCTGTACTCATCTCTCACCTACACAAGAAAGACGAAGAGCCACAGGTTACAACTACACACGCACAGGCAAATTAAGGAAAAAAAACAAAACAAACAGAAGTGTTGTAAAAACAAACACTAAAACTAACACGAAGTTAAATGTTTTACTATTTTCTAGTTTTACTCCTTTAAAGTAAACTAACAATTCAGCTTGCTAATGAAAAATACATGTGGAGTGATGGTGCGAGGCTGCAATATATGGTTAGGGGAAAAAAATACATTGGCATAAACAGGAGGCATCAGATAAAAATCAGTATTTATTTTATGCCGTTCTGTTGGTTAGAAAAATAATATAATTATTTGGGCAGTACGAAGGCTTAGTGTTTAACATTGTAGCCTCACAGCAAGGAGGTCCTGGGTTCACTTCCTGTTTGGATCTGGGGTCTTCCTGTGTGGAGTTTGCAGCATGTTTTAAAATGTTTCCTCCTACTGTCCAAAATCATGCATGTTAGGCTGCCTTCAGGCTCAGGCCTCCCTTGCAAAAGAGATCTGTGATCTCAGTGAGACTTGCCTGGTTAAATAAAGGTTAATAAATAATAGTCAGTTTCCTGTGTTACATTAGAGCAGACCACATTATCAAAACTTTAATTTGCGTTTACTTGAAACATCATGGCCATTGGAAGTGAATAACTTTAAACCTTAGTCCATAAAAAAAAATAAAAAATACCCGGTACTTTCATAAAATAATGTTTGCTCTGCATTGTGTCATTTTGTAATCAACAGTAACATGGAGTCATGACGAAAAACAATGTAGGAGGAGGAAAGTGCATTAATTATTTGCAATTGAATAAACAAACACTTTTACAAAAACACCACAGCTCTCACCTGTCCTCCAGATTTGCCACGACCGTACTGCCTGCCCTCCTTGAAGCCTGCGTCCCAGTCTGTCCTGATAATTCGGTCGTCCAGTCGTGTACCATTAACGAAGCGCATGGCGTTTTCAGCATCTAGTCGAGTGTAGTATCTGGTACACAAGCAGCTAAGGAATGCTACACACTTTGTGAACAAGTTTATATTACAAAGCCAATCCTTATTATTCATTGTTGCTATTTTTTTTAACCGTCCATGAAAAATAAGTTTTTCTAGTTTGGGTTGGGTGTTTTAAAAGGATACTCAACAAAGCAGAATCCACAGGCAGTCTTCTTGATTTTATCCAGACCAATAATGATGCGCTTGACGTCACCACATTTAGAAAACAACTCATGTACCTGTCAATAAGTTAATGAAATACATTCACAAAGTAGACGCTTAATATTTTAAACAATTCAAAATACATCTTAATGGCTGCACAAATTAATAAGTGTCTGCATCAGCTGTAAAAACAGAACTTAAAAGTTTGACATGCTCAAAGAGTGGATGATTCGTCATAGATTAGTCACATAATTTTTCAAATGAGATATTTTAAATTTCTGTCACATTACCATGAAATAAAGACAAGTGAACTTATTCCCAAGTAAGTTGGTGCTTGAATTAAACTAAAGGCCTTACCTGCTCCTCAGTGGTGTAAAAGGACAGGTTCCCAACATACAAAGTATTGCTCTGCTTTAGTAGTTTTTCTTGTTCATACCGGTTACCCTGCGACAAAAATAACAAAAGTTTGTGAGTAAAAGCTGCTTTTATAAATCTAAAATACTTTGAAAGTCCCACCACAACAAAAAGCACTGAGACAACACAAAGTCCTGCTGTTTGTACACACAAATGGAAACACTACTAAATTATTAAGGATACAAATTGAAATAAAAATAAGACTTTAAGCTCGGAAATTCAAACATTCAAAACAAAACAAAATTAATAACAAAATGTCTGTAAATCTAAGCAGTTGAACAAGCCATGAGGTTTTTGTTTTCGACCAAACAAATATAAAAGGTATCTTTACTTAAAACAACTATTCATTTCTATTTAATTATAGGCATTTTAAAAAGCATAGGTAAAGGATGTTAAAAAAAATTATCGAGGTGAAGCACGGTGAAAATTCAAATTAAAGAGCCGCTTGATGCTAAAATTCGCTAACAGGTTTCGCGAGATAAACCTACACATTAAGGTTCAACAGCTTTTTCCTGACTTACCTTAAAATGTTGATCTCTGTACTGACTAATCTCAGTGTAAGTATCACTACTCAAAGCGTTTAGTTTAGTAGCCATTGTGGAAATAAATGACAAAACAGCGCACCGAAACGCGTACTAGTTTCAGTTAAGCACTTCCGGCTTATTTGTCCGTCTGAAAAACAGCTCCGGGTGGAAAAATTCTTATTCTGCTTCTTTTATTGGCGGTTGGCAAAAACTGAAAGTGTGCATTACCGCCACCAACTGGTATGGAGTATGTTTCATCATGGTATGAATAAACTATGTACTGTACAGGTAATCAAACTCTATTTATCAGTTTTGCTTTCTTAAAATATCTAATTATAATTTGTATATGTTAGCTCCCTAAGTTATGTTGCAATATATCTATTATGTTAAACGTTTCTTTGATCTTTTCAAAATCTCTCCTCATATATCTTGTTTTTGCTCATATTTCAGACACTCAAGAATAATATGTTGTATGGTTTCCTCCTCTCCACAGTGATCACATGTTCCTGTATTGTGCTATATTGTTCCTGTAAAAAAGTGTATAAGTGAGTCCTGTACGTCCAAATCTTAGTCTTGTTTTTAATATTTAATTCCTTTCTGCTCCTTCTTCCAGTTCTCGTTTCTCCCACTGCCTTCTTGATCCTAAAAACCATCTGCCTTGTCTTTCTCTATCCCTCCTTTATGCCATTCTTTCATCAGTTTCTGTTTAATGATAGTTTTCACCTCTGATTTACTTCTTGTATGCACTTGTAGTACATTATTGTTTTTAATGCTTTTACATATTCCACCCACTGTACATGTACTGCTAATAGAACTGCTAACATTCCTCCTGTGTATACTGATAATCCGTTGGTGATTCGTTTTATTTTATTTGAAAATCCAGGATTATGAATGTTAGGGAGTTTTGGTCAAGGTTTATGGATGTTTTTAACTACTGGTGGCTGAGAATGCTAACTGTCCATGAATTGAAGTGTGGCTTCTTTTGAGTAACAGATATTTTTCATATTTTAGATCTTAGTTTTTCTTTTCCATTTTATTGTTGGACGTAACTGGGACCCTGTGCACACAGTTTCGCTCCACCACATGTACCATGTGCGGCGCAAAAGACAAATAAACTCTGACTCTGATCCAACATTGAAAGCTATACCTATTTTTTCAGTTGTTTTTAATGCATCTGTATGAATCGGAACGTGCTGATAATTGTTTGTCTGTTCTGTATATGAATTTATAATGTAGGTCCCATCCTTTCTTTTCCATCAGTGTCATGTCTACTGTTGCTAGGGTGGAAAGATTCATCAACCATGGCAGATGTTTTTATAGCATCATCTGTTAATATCCGATTTTGTTAGTTGGGTATAAATCCTTTTTTTGTTGTTGTTGTATGCTGTAACAAAAACATATATAAGTGTTTTTTTTATTTTTTTTTATTAGACAATCTACTGCACAAAATATATTAAACTTGAGACCACATGACAACATTCACTACAGTCAGCTATAACAATGTTTGTGGAGACATGGCATTGGCTACTGACCAGACCATTTTCACACTTGAACTTTTTTTATTTTGCTGACATTGATCACATGGTGCAAGTTTTTAATTTTGCTAAATTCCTTCAGAATTTTTTGTATATACAGTTTATCATGAATGCTTTATATTTACCTTTGGTACTGAAAAAATGCAGCAGGTAAAGTAAAATGTTCACCTGTCACATACTACATAGCTTAATAAAAATAAGTTATTTTTTTGCATCAAGCACTCAAAAGACATGTTATATTTGAGAACAATATTACACCTAAATGGCTCAAAAGTCATGCTAATTGTACAAAAATAACCACCAAAAACACTTAAATTGTCAACATTTTATTATCAATATTCCAAATAGTCCAGTAAACAAAATCATTTATCATAACCTGTGCCCAGATTCATTGCTGACAAAATGCATGTAGATTATTTATCACAAAATGAGTGTAAACGTGAACTGATTTACAAGATAAATGGTTTAGTAAAAAGGATATGATGGTAATATCGACCCGGAAAGAAAAAAAAGTCAGCTGCTGAATGGGAACTGTCTTGGTGTTTAGCAGGAACATATCATCAGTTCTTCTATTAAAATAAGTTCAACACAGATCATCGTAAGCAATGCCAGTCAAATGAGAATAGTGGCTTTGCTGAGCTGAGTCAACTCAACTCCCAGATTTGGCTTGAACTCTTGGTTAAACGTCTGATGATCTTATTTGCAAGCAGCAACACCTCTTGGAACCTGAAAGATAAATACAAAATCATAATATTAATAATAATCAGAAAACAAAAAGTAACCAAATGCTTAGAATAAATTTGTGAAGTAGCTATAAAGACGAGGACCCAGTGTCAATAAGGTGTCAGACAATCACCCATGGAAATAAACAATAACAAACTTAGTGCATCATCCTAATAAAACTGCAAAATACCACTTTGGAAAAATAATAAAAATATAAAAGGATAACTTCCAATCCAGTTTCTCGAGTTGATAAAAATGTTCAAAATCCTATTTTTTCCCCCCCATAAAATTTACAGTTTGGAAGAGTGAAACATTAGATGAGGGCCAAGAAAAAGTAATAAAGCAGAAAATACAAGATTTTACTTTTCATCATCTATGACAACTCAAAATGTGTAGTAAAGTAACAAGTTGCTTTATTATTATTGCTGTTTACAAATGATTAAAAGTACGGTATTTATTTTATTGTTGTATTGCTACACAACTTAACAAATCCACGTGATGTTTTAACAAAACGGTCACAAACTCAATCAGTGCTGATGACGTCAGAGAAAGTGATTTCCTGGTCATGTCCCTGCAGCAGGTGACACGAGTTTGTAAAAACTTACTTTTGAACGTGTCCTCTCCCTCAAAGCTCAGCTTTCCTCTCGATGCTCAGCAGCTCCACTTCGAAGATGAGCGTGGCTCCTCCGGGGATCTTGGGCGGAGCTCCCCGGTCTCCGTAGCCCAGCTCAGCGGGGATGACCAGCTTCCTCTTCTCGCCCTCACACATGCCCAGCAGGCCCTGGTCCCAGCCTTTAATCACCTGTCCGGTCCCCAGGGTGAAGGTGAAGGGTCTGTCCCGCGGGATGCTGCTGTCAAACTCGGTGCCGTCCTCCAGCTTGCCGGTGTAGTGCATGTTCAGCACGTCCCCCTTCCGGGACTTGATGGGACAGTTGTCCACACGCTTCTTGATGCCGATCTGGAGCTTCTTCTTCCCGTCCCCAAACACCGCCGCCGGGCTCAGAGACAGAACCGCCACCAGCAACAAGAACTGCATGACTTCAGGAGAAACGTTTAACGAAGTGAAAAGCTTCAAAATGTAAAAGGAAATGGAGCTGGACAAACGTTACCTTAACGATGACGACTGAGCTAACAAAACAAACGGATGTAGCTGACCGGGTGGTGTTACTACATAAAGTGTCCGGAGAAAACATCTAAAACAACAAAAGGCACAAAGGCATGCTTATAAATAGGAACATCTTTGACTTGAGAAAGAAAAAAAATAAAATCAATTTATGAAATAGTCAACAAATTTAAGTATTTTTGAATAGTGGCTTGAAGTGAAAAATACAAAAATAATCAATTTGATGACATCAATAACCAAATTAAACTGAGGTACAGACAAAAAGCAGGTCCTGTATTATTCTTCCATCCATCCATTATCTTCCGCTTATTCCGAAGTTGGGTCGCGGGGGCAGCAGCTTAAGCAGGGAGGCCCAGACATCTCTTTCTACAGCCACCTCTTCCAGCTCTTCTGGGAGGACTCCAAGGCATTCCCAGGCCAACCGAGAGACATAGGCTATCCAGCGTGTCCTGGGTCTTCCCCGGGGTCTCCTCCCAGTTGAACATGCCCGAAGCACCTCTCTAGGGAGGCGCCATGGGTGCATCCTTACCAGATGCCCGAACCACCTCAACTGGCTCCTCTCGACGTGGAGGAGCAGCAGTTCTACTCCAAGTTTCTCCCGAATAACTGAACTTCTCAGCCTATCTCTAAGGGAGAGTCCAGCTATACTGCGGAGGAAACTCATTTCAACAGCCTGTATCCGCAATCTCATTCTTTTGACCAGAGCTCCTGACCATAGGTGATGGTAGGAACGTAGACCGACCGGTAAACAGAGAGCTTTGCCTTACAGCTCAGCTCTCTCTTAACCACAACGGACCGGTACAGAGTCCGCAATACTCAACCTCACGCACCATTCTTCCCTCACTTGTGAACAAAACCCCGAGATACTTGAACTCCTCCACTTGAGGCAGAACCTCACCCTCGACCCGAAGAGAGCAATCCACCCTTTATTTAGACATGTTAATCCCACTGAGCCACAGGGACTCATTTACAAGAGAGACCTGAATTTTTAACAGAGTGATGACAACAGTGGATAACAAAGACAACAATAGACAATCATAAAAATGCATACAAATTAAAAAAAAATTCACAAATTAAAATAAAATGGCAACCAAAAGGACAATCAAAACGAAATGTAAAAAATAAAATAAATACAAATAAAAAACAGTTAGATTGTAAGGTAATGTAGAATACTAAAAACAGAAACCTGTCTGCATTGGTTTTTCCCAGGAACTTAGCAGATGTTTAAAGCCACTTAGAGAGGTCAAGAGCTTCAGATCTTTCTACAAGATATTCCAGGGAACGGGAGCGGAGTAGAAGGCCCTTTTGCTTAGTTCAGTCTGCACTGAGGTAATAATGTCCTGACAGCGCACGCTGTAGCTGCACTCGCGCAGAGACATGTAGCAGGAGATGTATGAAGGCAGCAGACCAAGAAGTGAAGCTGAAAATGTTCCAGTGAGTCTGCATGAAGTTATGTCCAGTTAACCAGTGAGTGAGTACTTGGTGCAATTTATACATTTCTAGACCATTAAGGCGGTCAGAATAGGTTGCAAAACCTGAATTTGTTTTGTTAGTTTTTTTTAGGCCTGAAAACAACTCCAGCTCTTATTAAATATACTGCATATTCCAATAAAAGTTTTAATCAAAAATAAATTAAAAAAACTACATATAACAGACTCAACACTCCTGTTTCAGTTATTCTTGATCCACGTTTCAATCGTCACATTAAAATTGGCATGAACATAAATACGAAATTAAAAAAAAGAATGATTAAGTGTGCTTAAACCAGAGTCAGAGATTCTTTATTGTCATTCGCACCTCATGTGGTACATGTGGTGGAACAAAATTATGTACACAGGGTCCCAGTTACATCCAACAATAAAATGTAAACGAAAAACAATAATAACATCTAAGATATGAACTAAGAAAAACATAAACAAAATATACACTAAGCAATCATATCATAAAACATTGAACATCAGCACAAACATGAACATGAGTCTGTGTGAGCAGATGAGCACGCATGAACACATCAACACTGAAAGAGATCAGCAGCGACATGATGTGATTTTTCACAGCAATTATTCTGGTTAGAGATTCATGAGTCTAACAGCCTCAGGGTAGAAGCTGTTCCTCATTCTAGTGGTTCTACACTTAATGCTCCTCAACCTCCTTCCTGAGGGGAGCGGGGCAAAAAGTGTGTGTGCTGAGTGAGTGAGGTCCTTCATGATGCAGGTGGCTCTCTTCTTGCATCTAGAGGTGTAGATGTCTGTGATGGTGGGGAGACTGACTCCAACAGACTTCTGTGCAGCCTTCACCACTCTCTGCAAAGCTTTTCTTTCTGCAGCTGTGCAGCCTCCATGCCACATGCTGATGCTGGAGCACAGGATGCTCTCCACTGCACACCTGTAGATGGAGGTGAGGACTGAGCTTCCCAGACCAGCTCGTCTCAGCCGCCTGAGGAAGTAGAGTCTCTGATGAGCTTTCTTGATCAGGCTGGTGGTGTTGTTGCCCCAGCTGAGGTTGTCATTCATGTGTACACCCAAGTACTTGTAGCTGGAGACCACTTCCACCGCAGATCCTCTTATGGGGGATGTAGGTGTGTTTGTTCCTTCTGAAGTCCACAATCATCTCCTTTGTATTCTTCACATTGATGTGAAGGTTATTCTCTTTGCACCAGCTCTCCAGGTGTTCCACCTCTTGCCTGTAGCTGGACTCATCATTGTTTGTGATGCATCCCACCACCGCTGTATCATCTGCAAACTTTACAATGTGACAGCCTGGATGGGTAGCTGCACAATCATACGTGAGCAGAGTGAACAGGAGGGGGCTCAACACACATCCTTGAGGAGAGCCAGTGCTGAGGGTTATGGTGGAGGAGGAGAAGTTGTGGATCCTCACTAACTGTGGTCTGTTTGTTAAGAAGTCTAGTACCCAATTGCAAATGGAGGGGCTTAGTCCTAGTGTGGATAATTTGTCCATCAGGGTTTGGGGGATCATGGTGTTGAAGGCAGATGTGAAGTCCACAAAGAGCATACGGACGTAAGAGTCTTTCTGCTCCAGGTGGTTGAGCGCAGTGTGGACCACAGAGGAGATGGCATCCTCTGTTGATCGGTTCTCACGGTATGCATACTGATGAGGGTCCTCGTTGATGTTCATGGTTGTTTTGATGTGAGTCATGACCAGTTTTTCAAAGCATTTAGCAACTATCGGGGTGAGGGCCACTGGCCGATAGTCATTCAGACCAGTCACTGTAGAGCTTTTTGGGACTGGGATGATGGTGGCAGTCTTCAGGCAGGTGGGAACTGTCTCCATGGTAAGTGAGGTGTTAAATATGTCTGCCAGAACCTCGCAGAGCTGATCGGCACATTCTTTCAACACTTTTCCAGGGATGTTGTCTGGGCCGGTTGCCTTGTGTGGATTAATCCTCCTGAAAGTACTCCTTACTTCGGCTGAGGTCACGCTGAGATGCTCTTCATCCGGTGGTGAGGTGAGTCTCGTGCTGGGTGGTCTGTTCGGGTCTTCAAAGCGTGCACAGAATTTGTTGAGGGCAGAGATGGGTCTTTGGGGCATTGTTCACTCCTTCCTTTATAATCTGTTATGCACTTAATGCCCCTGCACATGCTTCGAGGGTCTTGTGAGTTGAATTGACCCTCGATCCTCTGTGCATATGTGGCCTTGGCCTTCTTAATACCAGCAACCAGCTCATTCCTTGTCCTACTCAGCTCCTCTGAGCTTCCAGACCTGAAGGCAGTGTTCCTGGCTTCCAGCAGGGTGCACACCTCTGCATTTAGCCAAGGAACCAAACCAAACCAGTATATAACTGTTAGTTTATGACCACTTAAAAATAACATGTAAATAGTTTAAATATGTTAGGAACTGGAGTTCACACACATCTTTTAATATACACTTGTTTTTTACAGATATAATTAGTGTGATTACTAATGTTTATTTAGATAAATATGAACAAATGAATTGAAAAGGAAGGAGATGTGATTTTAAGTAAATCCAAGAGGGGGCAGTAATGAAACTCCGTAGAGGCAAACCGGCGGGAATTTCCAACGAAGAAGAAGAAAAATCTCAATAACAACATTTGGTCTTCAGCTCACTTGAAGTAAACTTCTTATTTTTCATTACATAGTATACACACTGATTTACATAAAAGCATATATCAACTGTAGATAAATATATATTCCTAAATTAGTAACAGAAACTCTGTCATTACAGGAATCGGTGGACAAAATGATCTCGCGCCTGTTAGCATACCTGGTCAACAACCTCCAGGTGGTTGAGAAGTTGGCAGAGTCTCGTCCGATCCGAAGGGCGGCCCAGATCACGGCTTACGCCATCACCAAGGCTCAGCTCGTCGGCCGGGACGCCTCACAGCGGGTCCTGCGGTCCCAGACTCTGCGCCAGTTCACCGGTAAAGTCCCCGAGAACATGCAGGAGGTGAGCGGCCGCCTCCGGAGGATCCGAGAGACTTTTGTTAAGGAAGTGAAGGAGGGATGGAAGGATGGCTCCAGGCAGATCAAGAAGTAAGAACTGGGTGCTTCTGGATGTTGACAACACGAGCGGTGAAGCTTCAAGATTTTGGGCAAAATGCAAGAATCTGTCTCGGCAATGGACAAAAACAGCCTTTAAATGGGATAATAATGTTTATGTCCAGATCATTAAATGATATAATCTAAGAAGTAACTTTACTGTTTTCATTTTTCAGAGAACATTTGTGGAAAACAAAAGAGAGAAATGGTGTGAATAAACTGCACTTTTTTTCCAAAATTTGCTCCACATTTTAAACACACTTCATAAACATATTAACATTCTGTAATAAAATTCACAACCTGCCTTCAGCATAAATAAAGATCCCTTTAGGTTAACCGTAGTTGTTTTTTTCATGCAACCTTTATTTAGACTGGTAAATCCCATTGAGCCTCGAGGACGCATTTACAAGAGACCTGTTCCATGGACTTTGTGTCAGAATATATATATATTTATATATATATATATATATATATATATATATATATATATATATGGTAGCTCGGTAGTCTGTGGTTGCGTCAGAAAGGGCATCTGGCGTAAAAATAACTGCCAAGTCTTCGTGTGACTTTAGTTCGCTGTGGCGATCTCTAACGCAGGGAGTAGCTGAAGGAAGGAGAAGAAAAAAAAAAAATTATATATATATATATATATATATATAAAAATCAAGGGCGGGAATTTGTTCTCATAGTGGAGGAGTTCAAGTGTTGAGGTTTTGTTCAAGATTGAGGGAAGAATGGAGCGTGAGATTGACAGATTGGTGCAGCTTCTGTAGTATTGTGGATTCTGTGCCGGTCCGTTGTGGTGAAGAGGGAGCTGAGCTGTAAGGCAAAACTCTGTTTACTGATCAGTCTGCGTTCCTACCCGCCCCTATGGTCATGAACTCTGGTAAGGATGCTCCCTGGGCACCTCCCTATAAGGTGCTTCAGGCATGTCTGACTGGGAGGAGACTCTGGGGAAGACACTGGAGATACTGTCTCTCAGTTACCTGGGAACACCTTGGAGCCTCCACAGAAGAGGTGGCTTTGGAAAGAGATGTATGGGCCTCCCTGCTTAAGCTGCTGCCCCCACAACCCGACTGGAACAAGTGAAAGATGGATGGATGGATTGTAAAGTTGGCATTACATTTCATGCCCCATCTGACTAATACAATTCTTAGGCTTTAGTCCATGAAAACACCAGCAGATTTTTTAATTTGCAACTTGTTTATAAGAAATCCTTATCCATCCATCCATCCATCCATCCATTTTCTTCCGCTTATCCGGGGTCGGGTCGCGGGGGTAGCAGCCTAAGTAGGGAGGCCCAGACTTCCCTTTCCCCAGCCACTTGGGCCAGCTCTTCCGGGGGAATTCCGAGGCGTTCCCAGGCCAGCCGAGAAACATAGTCCCTCCAGCGTGTCCTGGGTCTTCCTCTGGGTCTCCTCCCGGTGGGACGTGTCCAGAACACCTCACCAGGGAGGCGTCCAGGAGGCATCCTAAACAGATGCCCAAGCCACCTCAACTGGCTCCTCTCGACGTGGAGAAGCAGCGGCTCTACTCCGAGTCCCTCCCGGATGATCGAGCTTCTCACCCTGTCTCGAAGGGAGAGCCCAGACACCCTGCGGAGAAAACTCATTTCGGCCGCTTGTATCCGAGATCTCATTCTTTCGGTCACAATCCAAAGCTCGTGACCATAGATGAGGGTGGGAACGTAGATCGATCGGTAAATTGAGAGCTCCACCTTTTGACTCAGCTCTCTCTTCACCACGACAGACCTGTACAGCGCCCGCTTCACTGCAGACGCTGCACCTATCCGCCTATCGATCTCACGCTCCATTTTTCCCTCATTCGTGAACAAGACCCCAAGATACTTGAACTCCTCCACTTGGGGTAGGACCTCCTCCCTGACCCGGAGAGGGCACTCTACCCTTTTCCGGCTCAAGACCATGGCCTCAGATTTGGAGTAACTGATCTTCATCTAAATCCTTCTAAATCCTTATATTTTTCATTAAATATAATAAAAGAATAAGTTATAAAAAATTCTACAGTGCTGCACAAAGAATGCTGATACTTCATCAAATCTTAAGAACATGGGATTATGCATAAGCAGTGTCTGGGAACACCAGAGTTTTACAGTGACAACATCTATGATGGTACAATGAATGTGACATTAGACCAGAAATATGAAAAAAAAAGAACTGCTTCATAAAGTGTGTTTTGCTGTATCAGTTTATTTCATTCAGACAAGCACAGACAGCAATTTAAACAGTAATACTTATGCAGACACACTGGTCTGGCAACTAAATATTAGTCACATTTATTCATTTCACATAGAAATACATCTCTATCAGAAGGAAGAGAAGGCATTAGTCTGACAGCATGAGTCAGTACATATACACTGATATGGCACCTGAACTTCATATAAAAATAAATCTCAACAAAACAGGAAAATACACATGCAATCAACATTTTAAAACAGAAAACGGTATCGAGCAGCAGAATGATGAAAACAAGTTAGCTTGAGGGCTTTTTTTCTGAAATGAGTTATTTTGGTCAGAAGATGAGATAATTAGTTTTAACAAATACTTCATCTTAACTATTTTTTACAGTCACTAACTGAAGAAACTGAGCCTTATAGTCTTTCTCCAACCAAAAAAACGAGAGCAAGTTCTTCCATTCAAACAAAATTCTAATGAACTTTAAAAAGGTATAATTACAAAAAACAAATGGGACTTTTTTTTATTCCTTATTGGGCAATTTGATCATATAAAGAAAAAAAAAACATAAATCCAACATCAGCTTTAGATCATGCAAAGATACCCCAAATCTGATCAAACCAGACAATGTTGTCAAATTCGACTCAGAATACCCAGTAAAATATGATTTTGCTGCTGTAGTCGATGTAATTACACATTTTCTTCATTTCCAAGTATTTCAGAAGACCTCACCCAGAATAAACTTCCATTTCTAAAAGAAAAAAGTCAGTAAAAATTGATAATTAGCTGTATTTATTGAGCTGATCGCAACCAAGCAATGACCTTTTTAATCAACCCAAATTCATTAATACTAGAGAGAGAAGGAATTTTGAGTAATTTTCAGTTTACTGGAATAAACAAAAAACTTGTGAGGTAAACAAAAAGATAAAATTCAGAAGCTTCTGGCTTGAATCTTCTAATCCTGAGGGTTTGAGAACAGGTTGTGTCAGAAAGAGCATCTGGCGAAAAACCACTGTCAAATCTTTCATGCGAGTTGGCTCGTTGAGGCGACCCCCCCCACAAAGGGGAGCAGCCAAAAGAAAAACAACAATCTGAAGTGAACAAAGTTTTGGAGAGGCAGTTATGCACAAGCAAAATGTAACAGGTGGCAGCATACACACTGATATGGCAGCTCACCTTCCGTAAACAAAGTGGCAACAACACCTTCCATCTTTTTCACACAATTTAGCTAACTCAAGATTTAAAAAATGGACATGCTCTTTTTTTTGTTTCTAGAATAATACAGTTTAAACTAAAGGGTAGCTCCAACATGTTGTCATCAGTCAGGCAGTACACCGCCCTGGACTGGACCTGTGATGTGCGAGTCACATGGACAGCATAGGTCGGGTAAAACTTCAGCATTTTCATGTCAAATGTGATGAAAAAAAAAGAGAAAGATAAGACATTGGGTGTCGGTCAGTAAAGGGGAACAATAAAAAGCTTAAATTAATTTTTAAAAAAGTGGTGGGAGAAAAGACTCGGGTCATTTCTTTACAACCAGATGTTGGTCAGAACATGGCTCAGCATGGCTGTCAGCAGCAGACCCACAGATGAGACCACTGTAAGTAAAATAATAATAATAAATGTTAAAAAAAAGTAACTAAAAAGTCATATATTGCCTAAAAATTGATTGTTGAAGAATTTCCTTCCACACCACATTACCTGCGCTCGATGAGTTGCAGTCCATGTCGATCAGCGAGTTCAAGTAGCCCTGACCCAGCCACTCCTGGTAGGTCTTTCTGTCGCCGACTGCCACAATGCCAAGAGTTGAATCTTTAAAAACGAGGTCGGTGCCAGAATAGTCCTTAGAGTCGAACATCTTGAAACCTGAACCCGTGTCGCTCCCAAAATATTCCTGCAGACGGCAGATAAAGAAGTTACACTGTGGGATATGAAGGAGCCAAAGAATCACCAGGAGGACCATCAGAATTCAGTTCTTCATTAGAGATGATGTCTGATATCTTCTCATCAGACCTGTAAAACTCGTACAAGTACCTTTGCAGCTCGTCTGTTTGCAATGTTTCATAAAAGCACTAAAAAATCCCTCAGCGACAGATAACTGAGACCAATAATCTCAGATCTCTCCTCACCTTTCTCACTCATTCTTATCCATATAAACAGTCTCACCTGTGCACGATCCAGGAGCCCATAGATGGCATGGATGTTGGTATCTGGTCGGACCATTACAGCGTGAGAAGGCACTCTGGCCAAATTACAGTATCTGTACTGCGACACCTCAGCTTTAGTGTTCTGGGAACACAGAAGCTGGAAATCTTTGGACTGAAGGTCTGCAGCCCAGGATTCAGATGAATGACCTGAAAAAAAGCACAATCCGTAAAGTTAATTCCTGGATTTATGGGACATTTACAAATAAACCTTGGAGGAAACCGTCTTACCGTCGGTGTTCTGGAATACAGTGGAATGTTTGACAAAAGCAACATCTCCATTGCCGCTGGCCAGACACCTGAATGAACAAAAAGTGTATTTTTATTTTATTTTAAAGGCCCAATTTTTGTTTAAATAAATGATTAATCTTTTCTTAAAAAAAAATAGTTGCATGACTTGGTTACATTTCTAAAACTTGTATACGGTAAACGTAACTCATTCTCCGTTTAATGCATCAGAGACCAAACATGCATGAACTGTCACTCTTATCTGATTTGCTTCACTTCCCTGCCCTCTGTGAACTGTTGCTCAAGTTTATGAATGTTGCAATGTAAAGACCCAGATAAGCACCAAATTAAAGCTTGATGACGGGGTTTGGCTGAAGACAGGTTTCACATTGTACAGCCAGCTGAAGCTGCTGCACATGATTTCATCTGTGCTGTCTTTGTAGCTTTATAAACACAGTTGCAGTAATGAAACCTCCTTAATTAAAATATATATTTGACAAAAAAGCATTCGTATTCCATCATTTTTGGTTAGTAGAGCAGGCAAATCTAGGCTGAAATGTGTCACTGTGTGACTGTCTTTGTTTGCCATAAAGAAAAGTACCTCTGTCTGCTGTGTGTAAAAATACCACACTATATATACAAAAATACTGAACCCAAACAATTCATTTATGAGCGATTCAGAAATTTAGAATGCTCCTTCTAAGTGTAGTTGCAGGTTTTAGGAGAAGCCTTTAGAATCATTGAAATATTTAATTAAAATGCAATATACCCTACATTAAAACTTATAAAAACACACCATTAATCTATGAATGAGCAGATTGTGGTTCACTGTGGTGTCCAACAGTTTTGTCATAATTTCAGTACCTGAAAGCTCCATCGTATCCATCGTACAAGTCTTTTCCTTTCTCACATTTATTCTTCCCTGAGCTGTCTCCCACACACAGATCACACAGGTTGCCAGGGAAACCGCGTTGATTGGCACCAGGTACACAGCTCTGTTTAAAGAATCCTCCCACCGCTTAACATCATGGAAGACAAAAACAAAGTCAGAGTCTGACAAGGCGGGTTAAAGGTTGTACCATTTTGGCCAGTGATATAAATATTTGGTACAAATTTGTTTCTGACCGAGCTTCAAATCTGAATAAATAATGAACGGATGCCACGAGCAAAATCTTCTTGAACTAGAAAAATATTGCGTAGTGTTTGTCAGTATGTGAAACGGAGGAAGATCCAAACAAAAGACTTAACAGATACAGATTTCATTCAAACTAATGTGGTCAATATTATCTTTTACAGTATTTTAATGGATATAGCAACAAATAATGTAAAAAAAAAAAAAACCATCAATCCAAGCCTCAAAGAGTTGTGCAGTGGGACAGCTTTTAAATTTAGGATAAAAAAAATAAAAATTTAAACCTGTTTCTAGAAAACCAGGACTTCATTAAAAACGTAACAATTTTAGAGAAACAATATTGTCCAATTTGGAATATAATATAAAGTTGTGTTTACTTTTATTGTGCGTTTTGAATACATGAAATTTTGAAAACAATCTTTTTCAAATTTTCTTTTACATTTTTTTAAATAATCCTTAATAAAAAGAAGTTCTGATAATTCACTTTTAAACGGTTGCTTCAAGGATTTTAATGCTTACTTGAAATCAAACCTCTGTGACACACACACACACACACACCAACCTTTGGGAATTTCACAGTGCTCAGGGTGGATCAGTCCTCTCTCCATCAGACTTGATACTGGAACATTCCAGCCAGCCGTGCGACCGTACCCAGTATGACAGGAGCGACGGCCACGCAGGTCATCAAGGTTACGGATGTCAGTGCTGCTCTTTTTCACCACCGCAACTGCGTAGTATGTGGAGCCTTCACGGTCATCTACAGAGGAAAAACATTTAGAGATTGTACTGCCACTAAAACCAGACCGGAAACACACGCCTGTTTACTTTTACCTGTGTAGCTCTCAGCAGCAGCAGGAACCAAGCCGTAGTCTTTGCCTGCTGTGTAGATATAACCTCCATCCAGGGTGATTGCATCGCACTCATTGTTCTACGCAAACGTAAAAAAAGTTAAATCAAGTAAAAAAAAAATAAAAAAAACGAGAACAGCTGCAAAACATTTGAGGCCTTGCATGTTTATTAGCATGTATTTCTCCTCACGGTTAAAAATAAAATAGCAGAACATCTGTTCAGTTGAAACAGCAAACATCTGTTACCTTAATTCTCTTCATGCAGTCAGTCAAAGAGTCCCCGTGTACACAGGTAATACTGGGAGTAAGGCTTTTACTTTGAAAGGCCACACCCATGTCGGCACACTTCTGCTGCTCTTTGCTGGTCAACACACACCATCGTAGGACTTTGGGGACAACTTATAAAGACAAAGATGGAAGGACTTATAGTTTATCGCATTTTAATTGGCTCTAAACTCTTTCTTAAGGCTAGTTTAGCGTGACGAAAAGTCATTCTTACATTAAAACTCATTTTTTTGTATTGTTCTGAGTGTTAAATGTTGAGGAAATTTAAATATTTTAAACATCCCGACAGGTTTGGTTTTAGCAGACGTGCTTCACCTGTAGATTGACAGTCCATAGCTCCCATGACGTTATAATAGTTGCTGCCCAGCCACTTCTTCAAGTCTTCTGACTCAGCCCCCTCAAAGTTGGTGGTTGATTCGGAGAAAAGAACAGTTCCCCCTCCATAACCCGCAGATGAGAACATGTTAAAGCCCGACTTTTCCTGAAAGCAAGAGGCTACTCTTAAAATAGTGTCCCAGTAAGAACTGGTGAGAATGCATTATCACACCAGGAGAGTGAAGACGTTTACACCTACAGCTACAGCAGGGCTGATGAGCCGTACAAGCTACGTTACATGAGTAAGGTGCTGCTCGATGAATGCACAGTCCTTCTGTTTGAGGGTGTTGCCACGCAGAATTTGTACATACCAGACCTTCCTTCAACATGTTGAACACCACAGAGGGTGTGACGCCACTGCCAACAACAACACCACGGAATGGGATACGAACAAGATGGCACCTTTTCCACTGAGAGACGTCAGCTGTGGTGCCATCACGACACAACAGCTTATAGTCCTCTGATTTCAGGGCCTGAGCCCAAGCTGGGCCACGACCTGAAGACAAAACAAAAAAAGATGATGTCCAGCTGTGACTCCAAATGAATGGATGGGTTAGTTATTATAATTAAGATGTTATTCTGAGTAAGACGTCACCATCAGTGTTTTCCTCGACAGTTGTGTGTTTGATGAAAGCCACCTGTCCTGCATCTTCGGCCAAACACCTGTGAAGAACAAAGACACAAAGTGAACATTTTAAATGCACATTTTCAACCCAGCAGTGTTTTTATTTGTTTGCGAATTAAACACATTTTATGGAGGGTGGAATGTGGCAAAATTCAATAAATAAATTTATAGTAATTAAATCTAATTATTATTAATTATTTAATACGTCATTAAATTATTAAATACACAATTATTTAATTAAACGTCCCATGAAATAAATACATGTACATTTTAAATTTTTTATTTCATGGTGTATTTATTTGTTTAATTTTGTCACAGGAATGTGACAAAATTAAACAAGTAAATACATCATGAAATAAAGAATTAAAAATTTACAGTTATTTATTTTATGGGGCATTTAATTAATTAATTGTGTATTTAATGGTACATTAAAATATTCCTTGGGATATTTAATTAATAAATTGTGCATTTAATAATTTAATTGTGTTTAATTATGTATTGAATAATTCAATGAAAGATTTAATTATGATGGGATTTTGTCACATTCCACCCTGTGACAAAACTAAACAAATAAACACATCATGAAATGAAGAATTTAAAAGGTACATTTATTTATTTCATGAGACATTTAAATAATTAATAGTGTATTTAATGGTACATTTAATTATTTCTTAGGACATTTAATTAATAAAATGTGTATTTAATAATTTATTTGTGTGTTTAATTATGTATTGAATAATTAAATGATATACTTTATGTAATTATGATGTATTTATTTATTTAATTTTGTCACATTCCACCCTGTGACAAAATTAAACAAATAAATACATAATGAAATAAATAATTTAAATTGATTACGTGGGACATTTAATTAATTAATTGTGTATTTAATGGTACATTTAATTATTTATTGGGACATTTAATTAATACTGTGCATTTCATAATTTAATTGTGTGTTTAATTATGTATTGAATATTTAAATGATAAACAGTATGTAATTATGATGTATTTATTTATTTAATTTTGTTACATTACACCCTCCATACATTTATGCTATATTGTGCTATGTGTGAAATAAAGCCAAATATAAAACAGGATATATATATATTTTTTTTTGCTAAAGTAACGTAATTTTAAACTGTAGTTTCTCTGTGTTGAAGTATGCCTAAAGTATGTGAAGTATGAGTGCATGTTACCTGAAAGCTCCTTCGTAGCTGAAGTACATCTCATTGTTGCTCATCTCACACTTGTGCTGTCCGGTGCTGTCTCCTCTACACAACTCGCACAGAGACGCAGGGTCACCGTCCTGGTTAGCTCCAGGGATGCAGCTTGCACTGAAGAAGTTTGCAACTCCTGATTGCAAACAAACTTGCATCATTATCTTTGTCATGTAATTGCTAAACATGTATAAAATACATGCGCATGCTGGAGTAGTGGCATTTTATCTAACACAAAATGATTTTGTGACTATATGGAATCATGGCATGAACAAATTTAATCTCTGAAGAAAACTGCGCACAAGGTCATATCAGCAAGATCTGAACTCAGCAATAAATCCCAGTTTCAGTTACTGATGCACAAATACTCGCCACAAAACCAGTTTAGCTTTGACTAAGCTGCCATTATACTGTAAGAAAACCATATTTAACAAAAAAAAAAAAAAAAATCTGGATTTGGAAAAATAACTACATATTAAATATTTATCTAACACAATAATTTATTTTGTACTCTTTGTTTATGTTGTAACAGAATGTTCAACTTAATGTGTTTTAATACTTTTTTGATGATCCTTTTTCATTATTTTATGGTTCTTTCTGAAAAAGTTATTTGAAAAATATATTGTTTGCCAAATTAAAGTAATTGTATATATATTTATTTTAGCTGAATTTGATCATTTTTTGTGCAGCATTGAACACATGTCATGTTGAACACCTAAAATGAAACGCAGCAGTCAGGCAGATGAGAGACAAATGGAGACCGCTGTGTCATTTAAAGCCTTTTTTTTTTTTTTTACTCAAAAGCTTTTATTTTTCTTACCCTGTGAAATATTGCAGCCCATCACAGACATGTAGCCCTGATCTATGAGGTAACCCAACGGCATATTCCAGCCAGCGGTTCGTCCTTTTCCTGTGTGGCAGCTCTTCTTTCCCGCCAAGTTATGAATATTGATGCCAGAGTTTGCTTTCTTCACAACAGCAACTGCGTAGTAGGAGCTGATATCTGGTGGAATAAAAACAGCACATATTCAAAGACTGATTTATAAAGTACCATTGATTCTGCACTCTTATCATCAGCGAATGGAAACAAGGTGTTCAAAGTCCGGCCTCAAACTCTAGTTTTGAAACGTTCCACATGAGAACAGCGATAATAGTCGAGGTAACAGATGAGAAACAAGAAAATGACTGTGTCAGCGTTTCCCTTCCTGTCCATAAAATATTAACCAGGTCATTACAATGCATAAATCATGTTATCTTTTCTGATTAAAAAATGAAGTTCATTAATTTATTGAAGTAAGAATGAGTTGTACTGTTATTTTATATAAAAAGCAAATTTACGTCAGTTTAACTATTGAAGCAAAGTCATTCACAATCTAACGTCTTTCCATTAACACAACACAGAACTAAAAGAAAAAGCAATCCAAAATAAAATCTAATAAATCTAAACCAAAACTACCCTTAAACTCTGTTTTATGGAGGGAAGTTACAAACATCCTGAATCGGTGATGGTGATTTCTTGCAGGTGATGTTGTGAGCCTTGGTGAAGATTATTAGAAATGGGGGGAAAGCACTTAAACCTTAACAGCTAAAATCACAGAGTCAAAAGTCGAGGCTCACCTCCAGCCTTCGATTCGCTGGCAGCCATTTTGAGGTTGGCGGTTCTTGCTGCGTTGTAGATGTCTGTTGAAGACATGGACAAGGCATCCGCTTCATTTTTCTGCAGAGATACAAATATTTATGTGATTAAAAGAACTCAAGATATGTTAATAAGAAAATCTAATAGAAAAATACAGTTCAAGAAAGAGTTGTCCAACCAACAATCACAGTACAGCATTGCAGAAAAGTTGCTTATTTCAATTACTTATTGTGATAAGGGACATTTACAAATAGTTTGAAAGGTAAATGTCATTTTCAACATGCTTTAACTTTTATGAGAAGTCATATTTTTGTTTCACCGGTGATAAAGTACAAATTAATTCATTCAACCTTTACTTAGACAAGATCCCACTGAGCCTCGGGGACTCATTTGCAAATCAAAGCAACCAAAATAGCAACCAAAAGTACAATCAAGAGGAATAGTAGCAAACAAACAACCAAAAACAGCTAGATTATAAGGCAATTTAGAAAACTCAAAACAGGAACATGTCTGCATTGGTTTTTGCCAGGAACTTAACAGAGTTTTAAAGTCACTCAGAGAGGTCAAGGATGAGAACTGAAGATGGAAAGTGTTAAAAGTTTAGTCCATGTTAATCAAATCCCACCTGCAGTTTCTGAATGCAGCCCTCGATTGTTGGTCCCTGAACGCAGCTGAGGGATGGGCGGATGGAGACCTCAGAAAAAGCCTGTGACATGGCCTGACATTTCCTCTGCTCAGGATCTGAGATGGTGCACCATCTGACGGGGCGCTGGCAGAACCCTGACGCATATAAAGGATTTTTTTTAATTCAACTTTTCCATCAGCTCTGAAGTAATAATATGTGACAATATGTCAGAGTTTAAAACTTTATGTCCACACGAGTCATCCTCTGGAAAATGTTTAAAATATTTCAGGATAGTGCTGCACATGTGAAAACAGCTTCTCCAAGATGGTTCTGCACTGATTTCAGACAATTTACAAACTATCAACGATTTGTTGAAACTGACGAAAACATATCTGCATTCTATTATTTTTATTTTCATTATGGGAATCATGCAAAGATGAGATTAAGTGAAAAAGTGCTAAAGTAAAGCTGAACATTTTAAAGTAAATTGAGTGAAACTTGGAAAAAAATGGTCAAAAAGTGCAATTAATTACACGTCTTTTGATATGATTTATCTTTTGATCAGAATTACTGATTACAGAACTTTCATTGCAATGACGTTTTGTATTTTAATCCTTTCTTAAAAAAAAAACTTAGTTTACTTTATTCTCTGAAAAAAACAACACCAAATGTGTTAATGTCGTCAGCTGGAGCAATGTCTGTAAATTTAAACGTTTATGAAATCATTCACAGAATATTCACATGAGCCAGTTGGTTGAACTATTGAGGATGTAAAGAGTCTCTATATTGCTTGAATTCAAATTATATATTAAACCAAACCCCTTAGAATTTTTGCATTTACATTATTTTAGGTTTATGAAGTAATTCTTACCAGTGTGTAGAATTAGAAGAAGAGCTCCTACTATTTTCCACGTGGCCATGGCCTCAGCCTGGTTCCTCTCACTATCTGATCAAACAGCCTTCCTTCACTTTATATGACGACTCCTGAGCCAAAGTTCGTCTTGTAGCTCCAAGGTACAACTTAAAGTCCTCGCGTAAAGCCCTTACAAGGCTGTTTTTTTAACTGATTTACAACTCACCAATACAAAATGACACTCGGGGAGATTTTGAGGCTCAGTTCATGAAGCGTGTCTGCCCGGTTTACCTGATCCAACACGTCTCTGCTGCCGCTGCCTGGCTACAGGCCAGAACCTGGACAGAGGGGCTCTTTACAGTCCAGACTCGAGCAACGTCTCTCCTCCACCCGTGTGGTGCTTTTCCACTGATGTGCGACAGGAAAAGGAGGGAGTTAGGCCAACACAGTGGGGTTGTTGGTGCCGGACTCACTGCTCTGGCTGCTGGGACGAAAACACTCAGAGACAAAAAGTCTGTTTGCTTGCATACATGACCAACTTCATCTCTAACCACAAAGTGCGGAAAGTTCAGCTGCAGAAATGTTAAATCAGCCTTGCATTGCATAAAAGAATTGACGTAAAAAAGCATTTATTTTAGTTAAATTGTTATGTTGCTTGTTTGTTTCGTTCTAGCAAACAATTTAATTCAGCACGTGCAATACAGTTATCCAAATCAACTTTTAGTACAGTGGCACAGTTGGTAGAACTGCTGCTTCTCAAAAAGAAGGTTGCTGGATCGAATCCTGGTTGGGGGCCCTTCTGGGTGGATTTCGCATGTTCTCTCCGTGCATGCATGGGTTTTCTCCTGGTGCACCGGTTTCTGACTAAAGACATGCATGTTAGGCTGATCGGTAACTCTAAATTGTCCTTAGGTGTGTGTGAGAGAGAGTGAATGGTTGTTTGTCTCGTTTGTCTCTATGTGTCCCTGTGATGGACTGTAGACATGTCCAGGGTGTCCCCTGCCTCTCCCACATTGACTGTTGGATATGGACACAAGTGACCCCCGTGACCCAAAAAGGAAGAATCAGGTAAAAGATAATGGATGAACTTTTAGTATAAGCTCAGTTTTATGCACATTTTAGTTTTATGTTTTGGTAAACAACTTATCAAGGAAAAGTCAAAAGGGGTAAGAAAATTAAAATAAAAAAAAAATACAACAGTTTTATATGCTGCTTTATTCACAGTAGACATTTTTGACAGGATGACAGTAAATCCAAGTTATCGCCACTGTTTTTTCCAGGTGACATCAGCTGATCTGAGGATCTGCTGACTTTCTCTAAAAACTAAATGTTTGAGCTACATTTTCATTATGCTAGCAAACAGCTTAAAGCTGACTTTTTTTTTTTTTATTATGAACAGGTTGGCACATCAACTGACTACCTCACACCGAGACTTTTTTATTGGTCACGTACAGCAGGTTCTGCATGGCGTGTGGACAATATAACCGTTAAAATATTTTTAAATAGGATGTTCAGAGAGCAGTTTCATTTTAATAGATTTTTTTCTCATGTGGAATTTGAAAATGTGCTGCTTTTTGAACTATTTTATGAGTCACATTTCCATCTACTCTGACCAACACAAGAACTCAATAAAAAACAAACCCATAGGAGTGTGATAATATGAACCTTGGACAGGATATAAAGGCAAAGGATCAAAGCCGAAGCTGCGATCATTGCTGATTGCAGACAATCTTTGGTGAAATAATGATGCTAAAAAGCTTACAGCTAAAATGATCTTTTTAATTTGTTTTCACTTTCCATTAATGTGCACATTGATCCTTATTAAAAATAACTGGCAGTTTTTTGGTCCGTGTTTGTGTAAACTACACAAACAAAAATGTATGTATTTTTTTTCTACAGACTGCTAGTCTTTTTTATTATCAATAATAATATTGATGATAATACATATAAACTTAAAAGAGAGCATCCAGCCATCCATTTGTTTTCTAATTATTTCTCAGGCTGAAAGAAAAGTGTTTAACACAATGGTACTTCTTCTAGTTATTTAACTGTCAATAATGGTGTACCACAAGGCTCAGTCTTAGTACAAACTCTTTTTACAGTTTATATAAGGGGGGCTGTGGCTGAGTGGTTAGAGCAGTCGTGCTCCAATGCAAGAGTTGGGGGTTCGAATCCACCAGTGGTCACATGTCCAAGTGTCCCTGGGCAAGACACTGAACCTCTCATTGCCCCCGATGTGTGTCCCATCGATGTACGAATGTGATCTAAAGCACTGATTAGTCTCTTTAGAACGATTTGTTCAATTAGCTTTGTATAGATTTAGAGTGCCGTATGAATGGGTAAAGGAGGGCACAGACTGTAAAGCGCTTTGAGTATTTTGATAAGATAGAAAGGTGCTATTTAAGTACATACCATTTACCATAAGTAATGTAGGTCAGATCATTCCTCCTTGCATCTCTACGCTGACGACACAGTTGTTTATTGTTGAGCTAAAATAGTTGCTAAGGTTGTCCAACTTCTACAGTTTGCATTTGGCTTCATTCAGCCACTTATTCTGTCTCAGACTTGTGCTAAATGCTGATAACACGAAAAGGAGGTTGTTTTCAAACAGAAAGTTGGTGCCAACAGTCTTCCTTCTATCTTATCCAGGCACGGTGTTCCTACTGACTTTGTGGACTTGGGAATTTTGGTTGATGCACATCTTTCTTTTAAGCCGCATGTCAAAAACTTGATAAAGAAACTGAAATTAGAACTGGGTTTCTTTTTCAGAAATAGATCTTACTTAACTCTGAATGCCAGGAAATGCCTTGTAGCTGCTATTTTCCTACCGGCCATTGACTACGGTGACATTATTTACTTTGTACATGAATGCCCCTGCCTGTACCTTGCAGATGCTGGATGCTCTCTACCATGATGTGCCAAGATCCATAACTGGTTGTAACTACTATACACATCCCTGCACTCTGTATTCATTGGTCAGTTGGTCATCATTATCTACACGTAGGCTCTTACAGTGGTACATTTTCACCTCTCTGCTGCCTTCTTATATCTCCTCCCACTTCCCGTCATCTGTGCAGTTACAGCGTGCGCCCTCAAAACATCATTACCTGCAGTGTTCACTTAGTGGACTGAACTCGGCAAAAAAGGCTTTTCTTACTCTGCTCCTCTAACCTGGAACACCTTACAAAAAGCTGTCCACTTTGGCCTCTTTGTGAGATTCTAAACAATTGAAAAGTTCAATAGAAAAAATCACGTTCCTGTTGTTTGTTTTGTTAGTATTTTACCTTGTTTTATATGACGCCTTGACTTGATTTTGTTTTATAACACTACTTTTTTATTCTTACTTTATTTGCATTATATTTATTGTTTATTGCTGTTTACCTTATTTGTGGTTTTGTCTAAAAAAGGTCTCTCTTGTAAATGAGTCCGTGTGACTTAATGAGACTAACCTGTATAATAAAGGTTGAATGAATAAAAAAGGCCGTGGGGAGCTATTTCTAGTGGTCTTTGGTCAACAGGTGGAGTACACACTAGAGAGGTTACAGAAAGATTGTAAAATCCATAAAGGCTGTTTTTAATACAGTACTTAGTTTCTATTAATCTCCTGACTGAATGCATCTTTAGGTTTTGAATATATTTGAACATTTTGTTTAGTTTCTTCCAAATGAAAGTTATTGTAAACAGTTTTACTACTTTTCCAGCTGTAATATTGAACTAAACATGGCATTTTATGTCTACAGCAGTGTGTGTGTGTGTGTGAATGAGTCACAAACCAACAAAAAGGCAGAAGTAAATTATTATTTTTTTTTTACATAGAGAATATTCCCATTCATACACATTAAACAAAGCAATTAAGGAATAAACATTTCTCCTCAAAGGTAAAGTGTCATCAGGAAATCTCAATAAAGACTTTTATTTTTTTTATTTGTACCAAAATAGGCAGTTAGAGCAGGGATAAATATTATAATATATTAGATATAGATCCATCTCTGTAATAGATTATTTGCATCAGTGCTTTACTCTAACAGACAGTGGCATTGTCCCCTGGCTAAAACACACAGCCAGAGTCATACAGATATTCTAATTCTGTCAAACAATGAATGCAAATCATTTCATGGAACAGGTGAGAGGACAGAGATGAAAAAAAAATATAGATGAACATTTGTTGAGAAAACATTAAAGCATTTATAACACGTGTGGTCCAGTTCACAATTTTGGGGGGTTTAGACGCTGACAGAAAAGCCTTTCTATATGTCTCTGACCTCCAGTCAACATGGAGGAGTTGCCTTGGGGCTGAAGGTGAGGATGGGGGAGTGGGTGGCTGACAGGGTCCATACAGGGGCGGTGTCATCAAAAGCATCACATTTCAGGTTATTTTCATTTATGACCTCAGCACAGGTTACATTTTCAATCGTACGGAGTAGTTCGTAATTATTATCATGCTAAAGATTTCCCAAAGTTGTTGTATTTCAATGAAAACGTAAAAAAACAACATTGAAAGTGAATATTTAGATGGTGATGGTGTACAATTTAAAAAAAAAAGGAAATGCTGAGGTCCGACGCAGGAATAGCTTCTGGAGGCTTTGATGTGCATAAAACTAAAAGTTCAAACTTTTCAAAAAACTCTGGTAAAAAAAGCCCTGCAGCAGGTTAATCAATCATGACAAAACATTCACGTGTGTGACGCATGTTCATACTAAACATACACCAACTGGGAACACCTTCGCTTAAAAGGCTCTCTGACTCCTTACGATGATGCTTTTAGGAAACGAGCCATCGTTAGTGCAACTTCAGCAGGAGAAAAGCTGTAAAACTGATGCTGATGATTACGATCGTGATGATATTAAGCAAAGTGATACAATGTTTGATGTTGCAAGGATCGACTAATGTCACACTGGTTGTGGAGTAAAGAGGAGGACAGAGAAAAGAGAAAGGAGGAAGACTTGGACAGAATGTCATTTTTCTAAAACAAGAGTCTGGGACTAAATTTATCACAACGTAGAAAATAATTTTTTAAGTAAAAAAATAACTAAAACACAAGTTCTTCACTTTTACTAATTAAAAAAAACTGTTTCTAGTTAATTTGATTTTAAGTGTAAATGTTTTTGAGTAGTCAAGGTAAGCTATTTTACCTGTTTAGTTAAACATGTTTGAACGTTTTTAGTACGTTGTAGGTTTAATAAGCAATATTTTGTTATATAATAGAGTATCATAGTTAAATCGAGCAGGCAACTCCTGGACTGAATGTCTCCAACATGGAAATGCAGCATATTTGTGTTTTAAAACAGATTTCAACAGTCTGAATATCACATGTGTGGCTATAGGCCAAACAGGTTTTAGATATGAAGCAGCCAGAGCAAGAGTTGTTTCAAACTGAAAGCATTATCATTGGAAAAATTAAACATCTAATCTTATATTTAAATGTATTATTTATTTTACTGCTGACTGCATTTATTACACGCCTCTTAAATTTAATAAAACTAAAACAGAATATCGGAATATTCATCATCATCATTAGAATGCGTTTATGGCCCCGCAAAATGGTAGAATAATGTCAATATATTTCTTGAATATAAACTAAGTTTTCACTACTTTTAATCCAAGTTGAGATACTGGTTTGTCACATAACAGTTAAATATCTTCGTTGCAGAAACGCTAAGTTGAATTCTTTCTATGCTACATCAATGAACAGTAGCTGCCCAGAACTTTGGCCCTCAGTGATGAGAATGCTGGGGAACAACATAATTACAATTTATTTTCACATAATATTTAAAAGTTTTGGACAGTAAAAGAGAGAATGGAGAGATGATAAAGAGAAATAAAAGATCAACTAAACATAAATGAAAAGACAGATAAAAAGACAGACAGGGAATAGGTTTAAGATTTTGTCTGAAAAACATGCTCTTAAAGCTACAGCGTGCAAAAGTCTGCCTCTTGGTGACAATAATATCATTACAAACCCATACTTGAATACAATACCCTTTGTTATTATGAAAACAACAACAACAACAATAATAATAACAATAATGAAATAAATCAGATAATGGTACATGTTGACTTGATTTGAACCAACTCCTTAAACATTAAGGAACTGAGCTGCAGGAAGATCCACAAATAGGTTGCTGGACAGACATTAGCTCCTCCCACTTTAGGGAGGCGCAGTCCCAGATAGTCCCAGCCTCGCCATCTTCATGTGATTGTGTGAATAAATGTGTGTGCGGTGATGTAAAAGAGAGGAGGCAGGCTGATAATAGAAAATAGAATCAAGCAGAAAGTGTTGAGAAAAACAAGTGCATGAATATAACGTGTGTGTGTGTTTGTTCAGAGTCGCTCCTTGGTGGAGACCCAGATATAAGGACCAGACTGTTCCTCAATGATCTGCTTCACCTGCGAGTGAATTTCCTCAAAAGTTGAGCCCTGGACAATAGCTGCAAAAGACACAAAGAAATGAGTGGTTCACAGGTTCAAACTCATAGTTGGGATTTTAAAAGCCAAAGAGACTTTTATACATTTGTGAAGTAGGTAAAAGCAGAACAGAAACATTAACTGTGACTTCTTTTCTCCTCATTACAACAGAAACAAATGTACCAAAACATTAAAGAAAGAAATAATGTCAAGAACAACATTTTTTTTCAAGTTTCTACATGACAAATAATTTATCAAACTGCTAATATTTATATCAAGACATATAAAAAAAGTTGCTTAAGTCACTTTTTGCAGTCATTCTGTTAAATGTAAATGTTTCCGTTTTATTGCATTATGAGCTGTTGGGAAATTTTTACCATTCAATAAAACCAACTACAGCTCCAGTCACATGAAATTGTCACATTGCAGAGGTGGACTTTCTGCAGGCTGCTGTTACTGTGGGTGCAGTGGTTTTATTTTCCTGCTGCGTTCAGTATAATCTCAGATTTAAATAGCTTAAAATTTTAAACACTGCTACCACTAATAAAGTTATTTTTCCAACTTACCAATACCGTTCAAATAAGAGTGCTGCATACGGCCCATTATACACCCGTCGACAAACAGAAATACAACATTCTATAGCAACGGATGGACCAGCAAAGCCCTTGTACAACATTTGACCTTTATCTTGAAGCAGGAATGATGAAAAGTGTGTGACACTCTGTCTAGTGATGCTGCATAAGTGTTTGAAATTTTGTTAAAATATCTTGAGCTGATCAGATGTTATGGGTCGAAAAGGAGAAAATTTACAGATGTACAGACAGACAAACTGAGACTACACCATAATACCTTATTTGTAAGCCTTCAAAGGGCTTATAAAAAGGAGGACAACACATTTAAGATAAACCGGTGACAGTACTTCCTGTCAATTTTACCTTTATTGTCACAGTGTCTTTGTAATCCAGCACAAAATGAGTTTTTTATTGCAGCAATGTAAAGGCGAGATAATTTTGAGGTCCTAATGAAAAAGACCAAAAAGAACAACCTGTAACTACGCTTAGCATCTTGTGTGTGTGTGTGCTAACTTACCGGTGAAGTGTTCTGCAAACTCCTGCTCCAGTTTGACAGCTCTGTCAAAAGTCTTTCTCGCCTGCTCCTCAGTCAAGCGCTTGATCATCTCTCTGCAGGAAGTAGAAACAAGGAATCCACTTTATACAAAATGGAGTAAAATTGCTTATATATAGTATGTATATACAGTAAATAAAAGAAACAAAAGTTCATTAAGTATATGATTTGGTAACGAGTACCATGCTTTGATTCCTAAATAAAGATGAATCTTAAATACTGGTGCTCATCCTATGTGTGCAAGAAAAGAGCTCAATTGTACCAAAAAAAAAAATCTACAGTTTAACGACAGCTGACGATTAGCCTAACATAATTCAGCTGCAGGGTGTTCTTGAGCAGTGGTGTAGTCTACATTTTTGTAGTGGGGATACTGTGCTTAGAAACCAAAGTGCACTGGTTAGTACAATGCAATCGTCCATTTATTTAGATTTTTAAGCATATCGAACATTTCCAAATTTCTCTGATTCTTATATTTGAATAAATGGACAACAAACTTTGTACAGCTGTTGACTTTGTATTAAAAACATGTTACAGAATTTATAAAACAGTATCAAAGCAAAGCGCTGCATACGTTAGATTGTTACAGAAGCGTTTAACTGCCGTTTAACATATCAATGACATGTGCCTAATGTCATGTATCATTGGACAGTTTTAAGTGGGCATACTGAGATTCTTAATCTTTTCTAGTGGGTATACTCCAAATACCCGAGTATCACGTAGACTACACCACTGATATTGAGGTTAAGTTGTGTTAACATTTCTGTCACATACAGAATGTTGTCGACACTATGTGGTCTTATGAGGATAGCGATGGGATAGAGTCCTGCCATCTGGAGACGCTTTATGGCATTCCCGGATACGTCCAGTATGCAGTGTTTACCCTGTGAGAAACAGAGTGACTTAGACATTAAACTATTTACCATCTTTGCTGTGTTTGTCATCCCAGTGCCTACTCGTCCAGTCACTCAGGGGCTCACCTTGTCAGCCACTTCTCTAACAGAGTGTATGCTGGTTCCGTACAGATGGTTGTTGTACTGTCCTGCCTCTATGAACTTGTGTTCCTGAATTTCTCGCTCCATGAGCTCTCTGGAGGGCATGAAGTGATAATCTCTGCCGTCCACCTCATAGTCTCGTCGCGGCCGTGTTGTGTCTGAAGATCAGAGGTTGTATACAGATTTAATCCAACTCGTGTACAACTTAAAATCCACTTCAGAATAAATTAATGAACGATAAACCACAAACACCGAAAGCATGTGTTCAATACGAATTTGACATTTTGACATTGATTCCCCCCACCCACCCCCCACTATAAACCAAAACAGACTAGAAAACAGTGCTTATTTGAGTCAAATTGTGACACATGCAAGGTTTATTGTAAAGTGAGGAAACTCACGTGGGACGCAGGAGCCAAACTTGTCGGGAAACTCAGAGATGAGGTCATCGTTGATCCGATCTTTCATTGGTCCAAGCACGATGACCGGCCGTGTGTAATTAACTGAGAACAGATGAACAGAAGCAGACTGATATTTGTATGAAGGTATTCAGAATCCAATGCTAGTAGTTACATTAAACATTTATTCCCCATCATGCTTGAGATGTTGAGTGTAGGGATGCACGACATTATCAGCATGGTATCGGTATCGGCCGATATTAGCGTTAAAGTTCAATATCGGACATTGGCCATTCCATCAAAATAACTCACCGACATAAAGGTGCTATGACAACCCAGTGACAAAGATGCCTGCAGCGGCAGCACAACTTGATGACGTCATGCACGCCTACCTGATCTCACGGCAGAGAGGAAAATTCAAAATGTCGGTGGTGTGGAAGTTTTTTTTTTAGTTGAGGATGTCGGATTCCAAAGATTTTTGGACTGCGTTGAGCTGCACCACATTGTCCCCAGTTGGAGATATTTTTTCGACGTAGCTTTACCCGAGTTACAAGCCGTCATTTCTGACGTCATTGAGAAGCTAATGGCCAATAGCACTTGGGTGAGTTTTACCACAGACATTTGGACGTCGTGATAGCCCCGTTAGCATGATTAGTCTTACGGCACAATGGATAGACAAAAACTTTGAACTTAAAAAAGCTGTCCTTCATGCACAGGAGTGCAGAGGATCCCACACTGCAGCTAGGACCCTGGAACAAGCCTCCACAAGTGAGACAGCATCGCAGGTGACTAATGTTAATAAATAACATTTAACACTTTTCATTTAATATAAGTTAAAGTGCTATGCATATCATATGGCTGTTACTGAATATATGTCACCAGCTCTTACAGCTGTTACACAATTTTTGTAATAAATAAGCCTAAACAAGAGGGCTAAGTTCTGACAAGGGAAAGTAATATCGGTATCAGTATTGGTTATCGGCCAAACAAGTTGTAACATATCGGCATATTGGCCAAAAATCCAATATCGTGCATCCCTAGTTGAGTGTTTAAAGTAAATTCAGGAATTAGATACTGACCTTCCTGCTGCATAACAGGCTGGTATGTGAGGAACACCTCCTCCTGGCCAGCTGGTTAGACAAACAGACACATTTAGAGGTGCAGTGGTTTTATTACTGACATCACGTCACTCTTTTGCAAAAAAAAAAAAAAAAAACTTCTTCACCAGCTCTGAAAAAGCAGAATGTGATAACTTTCACAACCTGCATGCCCATTATCACCGCACATGAAAACACATGCCTATGTGTCTGACACAACAACAAGCACACACAGAAAAATAAAATAAAATAAAGGAAGGCATTAGTGAGCTGAAAAAGAGAGGGAAAGTAGGAAAAAACGAGGCAGAGACAGACAGAACACTTACAGAAACTATCAGAGGTTATCAGCTATGGAAGAACAAGACAGGTCAGATTCAACAACACACACGCACACACATGTATATATACATATATTCAAGCACACAGCACAACAGTAAAGCCCACTTTAAAGCAGTGTCATGCATTTCCTGATGTCATGAACGATTTGGCCCCTCTAACTTCACACTCCCAGCATGTGATGGAGCATTTCTGTTGGAAACTTTAATCCTTGATTTGTATTCACATTCAGTGTCATAAATAAACCACTAACATGCTCAACAGTTTTTAGTAAATGGGCGTGAATGTCTCTGAATGTTGTGAATTTGCACAGGAGGTTGTGAAAATGGAGGCTTTGTGAAACACCAGTCTGCAGAAGCTGGAGTTGCATAAAGTGACCAGCCGGTGTCAGCGACGGTGCGGTGACATACCCGTCTCATCCTGATCCTATAAGAAGGCAGAGAAAGTGAGAGGATTAATCATGATTCTAAAAACAGTCATAACAATGTGTGCTTGTCATCAGCACTGTTGGAAATCACAAAGACACACACAGACCGAGTGTTTGTGCGTGATCATTTTTAATTATCGTTTCAGCACGCAGCGTGAAGAAAACAGAAGGAGAGTGAGAGCGAGCTGACAACACAGTGATATCAATAGCTCGTGTTAAATTTGTGTCAGCAGTCATCATCACGCTGTGTTAGGTGTGATTAGGGTCAAGTTGTTGCCTCGCCTAGAAAATTATACTGAAACTTTGTAGCTCTCAAATGTCAAACTAACAAACTGCACTTTATCTTAAGTTATTAAATGATGTAACTGCTTAATATCTTTTAGAGCCAGTCAAAAGTCACATTTATATGAATGAACCATTTGCAAAAACTTCATGAAACAAGAAGATATCTTATCACCATCTATAATAAATCTCAGAAAATATTAAAACTGGACTTGTATGACCTCACAGGCCAAATCACAATGTCTATTATAAATTAAAAACAGTTAAAACACAGACACAACTAAACATGATGATCAGAAATAAAAACAGGAAAGAAAATTGGTAATTTCTTATAGCCAAAAAGGAATACAATGTTTTAGCTTTGTTCTTAATTTTTTTTATATCTTGCTTGTATTTTTGAACATCTTAATATGTTAACTGGTCTACAGAGTGTGTTCAGTAATTTGTTATTTTACAGGAGGGATTTAGCTTTTATATGTTTTAAACAATCAATAGCAGCACAGAGGTTGTAAAACATTAATATGTAAAATTTTAAATAGTCCCTGTGATGGACCTGTGACCTGTCCAGGGTGTACCCCGCCTCTCGCACAGAGACTGCTGGATATGGGCACCAGTGACCCCCCGTGACCCAAAAATGAAGCAGCGGGTAAATATAATGGTTGGATGGAAAATTTTTAAATATAACAGAAGTAATCAGTTATATTTAAAGCCCCCTCCTACCTCCTCCCAGGATTATAGTATAGATAAAATTAGAGGTTGTAAGAATCCATTTGATTTATTAAACCATGTGCACAGATTTTAAATCTGTTTTTTTTTTTCTGTTTAGAACATCTGTGTGCAGATTTAATAACAGACTTGACACCAAGACCATTGATTGGCTTCAGTAACATGAAAAAGTTAGAAAATGTCTTATTTCCAGGTTCAATAACAAGTTAAAAAAAAAACTGTAAATTGTAAATATTACCTCCTGTCAACTGGTGGAAAGCAACCAATGCATTGCAGTTTAATTTTCTTCAAAGCAAATCAAACTCTGACCTAAACAAATATTTAGGAACCATCAGTAAATTAGCACAAAATTATAAAAACAGGTCTGTTTCTACTTTGATTGTTGGAATGACAAAATGCAAATAAAAATGTCTGATTCATAAATGTCTGGTGATTTAGGTCAAAACACAGACAATTTGAATATTACAGACTGATTCTATAATTTGTAAATTGTCTTGTCACTATTTGGTTGATCACTTTACTAATCCATGAAGAAACAAGTTCTTTAGTCATTCATTGCATAAGCAATGGATCTGATTGAACTCTAATCTCACTTCCTGTTTCTCCATCCACGCTGAAAACAAAACTAAGCACAACACCTGCTGCACAGTTATATTGCAAATCCATGTGTGTAAAATTAACTAAACCAACAGACAGGACCTCAAATTTTATTTTTAACCCGTGTGAGGATTGGTGTGTGTTGCTTGTCACCCCTGGGGTTTTCCAGCTCCTACACACCTGTCTCCTACCCTAATCACCCCAGATGTCCTTCATTGTCAATCACGGGTGTTCCTATTTCTGTGTCTTGTCCCCTTCTCTTTGTCCCCTTGGCGTCATGGCCTGTTCTCCATCCGCATCACCTCATTTATGTAAATTTTGCTGCCATGTCAGCTGTTATTTTGTGTTGTGCAAATAAATATGTTTGCTTTATTCCCCAGTCCTCCGAATCCTTGGGTTCAAACACGCTCAGATCATGACACCATGGAGGGTTTAGTATTTAGATTATACAGGAAAAAGTAGCAAATTACAACAGCACCAAGATATGTCTTACAAAAGGGTGTTACAAATAAAATTTAAATTGTGCTTCTTTTTGAATAGCTCCTACTTTTTAGCCTTATAAAAAAAGGAAGACACTCACCGATGTGTCCTGGGACCTCGTCACTCTGACTGTCTTTAGCCTCGATTTCTCCTTTTTCTCTGCCCTGTTAACCAACAAAAGAGGAATAAAAAACATAAGGAGACATGCAAAAAAAAAAAAGATGCAAACATTTTTTCCCCTTAAAGCTATTAAAAGAGCAGAACTGTGATCTAAAATAATCACATTATATCTACAAAACCTGTGATTTTTAACCAAAGAGCTCATATTTATCGTCTTTACAAAAACAATATTTCTTTATTCCAAAAATGTTAAAATTTGATCTTGGAACTTCTCTCTATTACATTTTAGGGGTCTGTTATTTTTTTAAACATTCTTATGAAATAAAAAGCTGAAAATAATCTGGTGAGTTTATGTAAGATGACAGTAAAGAGCAGAAAGCATGTTTGTATCCACTGATCCGAACGGGCTGTAATAACCATAAAACCGTAAAACACATGCATGAGAAATGGACACAAGACCAGGATGCTTTTCATCCTCAGCACAAAGCAGCTGCGTGGTGCTGCTGTAGAAACATTTCCACCTCCTAAGCTGAAATTTGGTTGTCACTTTATGCAGCACCATCATCTGCTAAAGATCCCCTTCACATTTAAATCACGGGACTCGTTTCTCTAAGAAACTCTTGCTTTTTGTACATAACCTTAAAGGACCAATGTGTTTTTATACAATATCTTATATACTGTAGAATTAGCCATCAAGAAAATATGAATAACTGATCTATATCTATAAATCTATAAAAAGACTAAAAATACATTTAAAAAAATTGCAACCAAAAAAGTCCCAATGGAGGTTTTTCCTCTATTTTGGATGAATAAAACATACTTTATGATGTTTTGTAAGTCTACTAATCCATAATGAGGTGTATTTAATATTCTACAGTTTAAAAAGTCTTAGATAAATATCAATAACTGCACCACCTTTAATAACGGAGTGCGGTGCGAGCTCTAATTTCAGATTTAAGACTTTTATTGTAAACTTATTTAATTAGCAGGAATGCACTGACCGCTACACCTCCATCAAACCCCTGGGTGAAAACATCTCTTCTTGTTGACTCTAATCCAGCTTTTCTCTCTTTCAGCAACTCACTGCCCTCCAACGCTTCCTCACTTTCTTTCCTTCCACCATCACTCTTCACATCTTTTCCTCGATGTCACCTCTCTCTCTGTCACGCATGACAACACGACTTGTTCTAAATAGTCTTTTCACCTCCTGGAAACCTGTCAGCATCGGTCTGTCGCCTGCTTCACATGAGAAAACATCCAGAGAAAAGGAGGTAAAAGGAAACAATGTTTTTGTTTTTACACCTCAGGACTACATAGTCTGAGGTGGCTCGGGGACAAAAGTGACACCTAATGTCAACGCTATGATAGATTTGGTTAAAACAAATGAAACAGTTTTTCTTGTGAATATAGCACAGAGAACGTTAAAGTGTCCAGCCCAACACTTCATCCTCTGTCAGGGTGTGACATGTTTGGTTCACATTTTTGGGTTTTGATCACCTTTTACATCCATGAAGAAAAACAAAATATTAATTTTTTCTAGGGATGCACAATATTGGATTTTTGGTCGATATCCGATTTGCCAATATGTTAAAACTTATTTGGCCGATAACCAATACCAATACCGACATTTATTCCCCTAGACTTCGTTACAGAGACTACATAGATTTCTCTGCTGTGGAATTAAGATGCATTATTCTGCATGGTCTTTGTCAATTTGGCCTGCTACCAAATGCAGATGCCAAAAGGGGGGCTGTAAATGATGTAACACTGCAAATTGGATTATGTTTAATGTCAAATTTCATGACATTTACTCTCTCCAACACAATGACAACACTCGAACAGTGCAAATTTATAAATTTTTACAAATCTAAACTCAATGGCCCGCGTGATGTCATAACGTTGTGCTGGCGCTGTAGGCATCCTTGTCACTGGGTTGTCATACAAAAACAGTGTCATATATATATATATATATATATATATATGACACTTATATATATATATATAAGCAGCGCCTTTTATATCGGTGAGTTGTTTTGATGGAATGGCCGATGTCTGATATTTAACTTTATCGCTTATATTGTCTGATACCAATACCATGCCGATAATATCGTGCACCCTTATTTTTTACGCAACGGATCTACTTAAACACAATATTCAAAGTTATTGAAAATACCTTTGTATTCATTAAAATACAGAAAATGTGGGGGAAAAAAAACGTAGAAAAAGACTTAACATAAAAGGTTTCAAATTTGATACATTTTAAAATTAGAAAATAATTTTCAATCTTTATGGACTAAGAAGAAGTAAGCAGTTCTTCTTACCTCCTGCGGCTGGGAATGACTCCAACTTCTGGGCAGTTTGGGGGCGGGGGACTAAGGTGACGGGCGGGCCACCACTCCTCTTCACCAGCACTGCTTACATGGAGGATATCTCCAAAATGAAATGGGAGTGGCTGACTGAGAGCACTCAGATCTGCTCCACTTCCATCATAATCAAACAACGCCCTGAAAACACATTCAAAGCACACATTTAGTTCAAAACTTTACATCTTAAGAGACAAACACATTCAGCTGTATTCATGAATTACATTTTGTAATAAGGAGCGATAACAAGGCAGATATTTACATTTATACAAAAGAACATTTGTTTACAGAATACCAACAAACTATATTTTCTGCGGGACTGCAGTGTGATCGCTGAGTCGTAGAAGGCTTTCCACTGAAGAAGCTGAAAATTAGCTGTTAAAGCTAAAAGAAGCAGAACACTAGCTAAAACAAGTAAAGTTTGTCTGGCTAAATGTAGCCGAAGGTTACACAAAAACAAAGCAAAAGGAGAAAAATCATAGCTAAAATCAAAAAGTAGAAGAGCAGTACCTAAAAGTTAAAATTTGTTTAAGAAGACACAATTAGTACAAATGTGCTGAAACAAACTTACATTAAATTAAATATAAAAAGAAATGCATAAATGTTACAAAAAACGTTTCAGTATATGAATGGCTAAAGTTGCAAAGTATGTAGAAGTAGAAAGATTACTAAATGATTATGATGTTGACAATGATAATTTTTATGATTAAAATGATGATTATTATTAATTAATAATATTATAATTAATAATTTTATAATAATAATAAAATTGAGAAACCATAGTGTGAATGTCAAACTAGTATTGACACTGTTACAAATAAAACATGTAGCTATCATACAGCATATAAACATATCAGCTAAAAACAAACAAACAAACAGCTAAGATAAAAATAAGATAAATTATCTGAGACCAGCATCGTCAATTTACTAATGTGTCCGTGTTTAGATTAGTTTCTAAAGAAGCGAGCCCGTTTTCTGTGTGACGGTGACCACAGAAAACCAAACACTTCCAGAGGGAAAAGACCTGGAAAAGTAGGCCAGCAGTTTGTGAGGCTGCGTGGCTGCAACGCAACTGGAGCTGCAATAACCGGTATCCCCCAAAGTCCCCCGTTGTCTTCATCAATAAAACAGGACAGAGACAGGGAAAGTGACAGAATCAAATAAAGAGAAGCACAACAACAACAACAACAACAAAAAGCCCTAAAAAGCTGGACTTCGGATCAAAAATCGACCACCACTGTTTTACTCATGTTAGATTAAAGATGACAAAAACAGGATGGGAACACAAAATACTAACATTTGATGTGGCAGACAAATGTCTCTACTATAAAATATATTTAAAAAAATTTAAATGCAGAAGCAAGTACTTGAGCAGTAATAACACTTTAAGCCGAAATCCCAAATCTAAAATAAAAAATTTAAACAATATCCTACTGAGTAAAGATACGTTGAACATTACTGTGCATTGGTGACTTTTTGGTTCTATTTTTTTTTAGGTGTATTTTGATATAAATGGAGCAAATGTTGAGTAATAAAAGACAGAAATGTCTGACAAATTAAATGACTTTAAAGTACCATAATCATCATTACTTTTTGATGAGGAGAACATTTACAGGTCAAATCCCTGCAGCAGGTAGGAGTCACTAATTCCCTGTAATAGTTCAAAAGTAGCACTTTTAGGTGCTTCATTGTGAATATTAGAGTGTAGCAACTAAAATTAAAATAACAAGTGGCTGATCTCTGACACTTGTGAAAATGAGGTCAATAAAACACGAGCGTAATTGTTATGGAGTATTGTAAAATGCTTTGCTTTAATGAAGTAGCTTGGTTTTTGTAAATGGGAAAACAAATAATAGGGTTCACTTTGTAACTAATAATGTCTTTATGAATCTAACAATTATTCTGATGTTTTATATGTAAAACTAATCTATATAAAGTCTGTCTTAGATCAAATAAGGCTTTATTATCCCAAAGAAAATTTACAAGTCGTCAGCTGCTTCAAATCACACAAGACAGAAAAACAATAAAAATATATCGAAGAATAATACAGTAAGGAACAAAACAAACAAACAAAAAATACATGCCCACTAAAAATTCTATAAATGAGCACAAAATTAGTAAACTTCAGATAAAATATTAGGAAACGTTTTCTTTATGAAGTAATTGTTTTATTTAATCCTAAAAATACGATTTTACTGCAGCTGTTACCCGTCAAACTTTTAATGCAGAGCTGTCTGTGCTCAGTTCAAATTACTCAGGTAAAAAGAAATCAAACAAACAAACAAACAAAAAAACTGAATTCATTCATTCATTCAAGTTTATTTGAACGGGGACAGCACAGTAAACAATGCTACATGATAAAAACAAAGTAACCGTTGTTTTGTACGAAGGTTTTCTAGCCACAGGCTCATTTGCAAACTCAGTCCTTGGTTGGATGTTTATATAAAAACAGCTAAAATAAAATTAAAATTTAATTAAATTTAAACAATCTCAAAGTTAAATGAAAATAACAATCATTTAAACATATTCCTGCCTGTGTAGCAACAATAACGGTCTACATAATTTCCGTTTAACACTTTAATTCCTGCAGGAAACATTAAAATCCAATTACACAAGTTAAGAGACAAACGTTCATTACTGCTGCAGTTTGTAATGTTGTGACCTTACAAGCTCCAACAACCTCTGTGGAAAATATGCCTTTGAAAATTTATGCTAATGCTGTTGGTCTGCAGCTGGCAGCCAATTACTGAGGTAAAATATGTGAAACCATTTGAAATGTTCTACAACGGGGACACAGCAAGGGGCTACAGGCTCTTGTGTAAACATCCAGTTCATTGTTACAGCCGATGTGTTGCAATTTTAAACTTCCAGTCATGATCATTAACAAAAACAATAATAGGCAGTAAAAACCAAAGAAGACGGTTACACAAATCCCAAAGGGTTTGGCAGCAGATGTTTCACTGATGCATGTAGTTATTAAAGCTTAATTTAAGCTTATTAAATGGATTTCTGATTCAGTTACCTGTTCTGCAAACATTTTAAATTCCTGAGTGGAAATGACTCCACAAACAAAACCACACATTACTGTATATTAAGACAGGCCTTTGTAAATATTTGTTAAAGTTGCACAGCTCGCAGCATATTCCTTAAACAGCAGTGCTGTTCATATAGGATTACTGCTTATGTCTGCTCATTTTTAGAGGGCAAAGCACTCAGTTATAGAGGCTATTCAATACTGCTGTCTAAAATACAGCAGAACGATTCAAGTACAGACTAATTCAGACAATGCTAATAACATAGAGCGATATACCTTTCCTAGTTTGGTTGATTTAATGTCAAAGAGTTTAAACCATGTGGATTGTGAAACATCCTGGAGTGCAAAACCCAAAAGGAAACAGGAACAAAAATAAAAGACAAAAGAAAACAAGCTTGTTAGTTTTCTTTTTCATTACTTTTTAAAATTGTGCACACATGCTGGTCTCAAAATGTATTTTTGAGTTGACAAAAAAAAGAAAAAGTTATGTACCATATATTTTGTCGTATAAGTCACACCTTTTTGCAAAAATTTGCAAGTCCTACGACTTACCACCAAAGCGACTAATATACTTTTTTCTCCCATATTTATAACCCAATTTTTGACTGAGATTTGAAGATTTTATTAATTCTATTAATCAGGTCTCTCCTGTAAATGAGTCCCTAAGGCTCAGTGGGATTAACCTGTCTAAATAAAGGTTGATTGAATGAATTCTAACATGAAACATATTAAACAGTATCATTGGCAGCTGCTAGAGGGCCCTCAAGTATTATGGAAAGCTAAGTGACTCATTAATAGGTAAAAGTAGCTATTAATGAGACACTTGGCTTGCCATACATGCCACCTTTGTGTCGCTGCGGAACTCCTGGAGCAAACGTCAAATCAGCTACATTTTGCAGTGCTGCCCAAGCGAACTGCAGCTGATTTGACCATTAAAGTGCATTTATTAAGGAAAAGTTAAACTGAGACACACCTTTGCTATAACTTTGAGCAAATAAACAATTGTTTTTAAGTGTTAATCTTGTTAAATTCTTGTTAAAGTCCTCCCATGCATGCTCCCGCGGCTGCTATTTGACAGCCAACAGATTTTTGGCACAACATTGGCCCACGTTTCCGGGTGGTCAGCGGTGATGCGTAATAGATGCAAATTATATGGCGAAGCAACTTAATTATGTTTTTTTCCCACTTTATTAGACATTTTTGGACGGATGCGACTTATACGGTGGTGCGACGTGTACGACAGAAAGTATGGTAACTTTATCATATTCAGATTCTAAAACCCCTAAATATGACATACAAGATAAAGTAGCTCTAGCCAAAAAAAAAACCAACAACAACAAAAAAAAACATATATAAAACACCCATACAAATTCACTTTATAATACAAAAAAAATAAGAGAAAGGCATAGATAGATACTGTAGACAGACGGACGGACGGACGGACGGACGGACGGACGGACGGACGGACGGACGGACGGACGGACGGACGGACGGACGGACGGACGGACAGACAGACAGACAGACAGACAGATAGATAGATAGATAGATAGATAGATAGATAGATAGATAAGGGGCTGCAGTACCCCCTTGTGGATGTCATGAAATAACATACCATATGTTAGAACTAAAAAAGTTAAATATATATATAAAAAAACTAAAAAAAAAGGTTTGTAGGCTCAATAATTCAGGTAGATAACAACAAAAAAGGTTAAATCAAGTCATCTGGAAATTAAAGAAATAATAATAAAAAATGAATGATAGGCAAAGAGATTTATTTCATGTAAATTTAAAATCTTATTACATTTTTATGATAGTGACTTATCAATAAAGGAAAAAATAGTTTCTGCTCAGTTACATCCGTAGATGTTTTTCTTATTTTATGCAGCCGTACTAGAACCCCCATTATAAAACACGTTCCCATGACAATGGAAAAAGAGAAAGAAAAAAATGAATGTAGTGAAATAAAACAATATATATAAAAAATAAGCCAGTCAAGCTGAAAAATGTGTAGGAATCTTCCCCTCATTTATCATCTTTTAGATTCAGACTTTTTTGAAATTTGAAGATAAAACAAGAATACGTGCTGATAAAAACGTGACCTCACTTACAAGAAGAATAAATCTCTGAGGATATTTAAACTCACAATATTAAATTTCAAGAAGCCTGTTGCTGTAATCATTTGAAAATGGTTCAGAATCAATGTGTGCACCACGAATCAATCCAGCAGAGACAAACGTCCCTTTCCTGTTCACTTTGAACCTCAGAGGACAATCCATGTCTGGATCATGATTTGTACTGAATACATTGGCTTCTGCAGAATTTAAAGTAATGCAAAAAAAAAAAAAAAAAAAGGACCGAGTGCTCTGTTTAAATTTAAACTGATTCCTAGTTAAAACAAATAAATGCAAGTGTGGAAAGTAGACTGAATGCTTCTAGAGAGGATCCGTATTTTTGCAAAGCAGTTGAAAAGAATCTGTCAACAGTGAAATTTACATTTACAGTGTCAGTCTACTGAACCATGCAGTGTTTGTAAAATAGACTATAACGGTGTGAATTTGAAATAAAGCAGGGGAGAGGAAAACAGGGGGCACACATACACACTTTTCACACAGAGGACAGACAGACAAAGACACAGAGGATGTCACTTTGTTTCAGTGACATTTCCACTGAGGGAGGAGGAAAGGTTAACCTGTCTTTTACACAATGCACTTGTATATGGTACAAATACCCCATGTGGGCACTCATACATCACACACATGAATGGACACCGCACAGCACAGAGCGTCACACCCCCCCAATCTGTCACACACCAACCTGCCAGTCCAATGCATATTTTATAGGCACTAACCTGATCTAGTAATTGTTTCTATAGCAGTATTTTATCATGTATGTTCTTGAGGAGCACCACAACTTCATAAGTAACCTTGAAATGATCTTTCAAGCTTGAAGTTGACAAGAAGATCCATTAAGATTCAGTGTGTGAACTAATTTTCTATGTTTAGTAAGGTTAGTCATTTATTTTCGAGCATGAGATTGACAGATGGATTGGTGCAGCATCTGCAGTATTGCGGACTCTGTGCCGGTCCGTTGTGGTGAAGAGGGAGCTGAGCTGTAAAGTGAAGCTCTCTGTTTACCGGTCAGTCTACGTTCCTATCCTCACCTATGGTCATGAGCTCTGGGTATTGACTGGAATAATGAGATCACGGATACAGGTGGTTGAAATGTTTCTTCCGCAGGGTAGCTGGACACTCCTTTAGAGATAGTGTGAGAAGTTCAGTCATCTGGGAGAGACTCGGAGTAGAACTGCTACTCCCCCACATTAAAAGGAGCCATTTGAGGTGATTCAGGCATCTGGTGAAGAGGTGCTTCGGGCATGTCCGACTGGAAGGAGACCCCAGGGAAGACCCAGGACACGCTGGAGAGACTACCGTATATCTTTCAGTTGACCTAGGAAAGCCTTGGGGTCCTCCTAGAAGAGCTGGCTGTGGAACGAGATGTCTGGGTCTCTCTGCTCAAACTGCTGCCCCGGTGACCTGACTTCGCAATAAGCAGAAGATAATGAATGGACGGATAGACTGATGTTAACTTATTTTATTTATGCTGAATTTTTTGTCTTGATTTAAACAGAGAATATTACAGTGTAACACGACTAAATGATTACTCATCAATTCTCCACAGACAATTGTTTAAAAACAGAACACGTTAGTAAAGAAATCCCTCCAATTGTAATTGTATTTTTTTGTCATCGTTTGAAAACCTTATAATAAATATTAAATGACCCCTCATGCTTTTAGAGCCACAGTTTCCATCAGCTGTTGTGCTGCAATATTTCTTAATAAGATCTTTGCCACCAAAAGCCAGAGGGGTTGACGATTTCTGACTCTCTGGAGAAGTTTATCTTGTTGCTATTTACATGAATGTTTTTTTTAACAGCTTCTCTGGGCGAAGAGGCTTTCACATGTATTGATCCCTTCCCAAGACGTTCTATATTCCTATTCTAATCTTTAAAAGTACTTTAGTTGTACCTGAATTTGCCCAAAAATATAGCATTAATCATTTTTCTGTGTACTAACCCACACTGTGAGCATTCTCTTATTTATTTATTACAGACTGCCACAAATTATATTTTAAGGGTGAGAAAAAGATCTACTAGTTTACTCTCTGACAATATTTAAAACTTAAAGAACTTTTAAAATGTTTAGCCGCCTCCTTAAAGCCTCGGCGATGTCTGCTTCAACATGACTGACGTTCTGAGGACTCTCAAGTGACATCTGTGAACTCGGTGACCCACTTTGAATCTTTCAAACAGTGTGAAACTTTCAAAGAGAGTACATCTAAAGTGCAGTTGCTTTAAGTCTGAAACTGCTCTGCAGATTCAGTTAGGGGATGGCCATCGTGAATCAGAGAAGACTGAGTAACCAGGACAGCCAAGGACAAGATCAACGCAAAGACAGAGGGACACACACAGGGTAAGAAGGCTGCGGGTGTGTTTGTGTGACACTGTTTTTGTCACAGGATATAGTAGTGATTTTATATCTCTCCTCCAGCTTCTCCCACACACAAAACATGGAACAGACAGCTGAGATAAGACCTTTCTATATCAGTTTCGCCAAGAAGGGCACAGAACAATCAGTTTCTTTTGTCTGCTGTGTGTGTGTGTGTGTGTGTGTGTGAGTGCATGTGTTTTGTGGTACCTGACGTAAAGTGTGCGTTTCTGTGTGGGGCGGAGAGACGTGGAGCTGGAGCTGACACTGCTGGTCATCATTTGTTCCCTCAGGTCATGGATCTTCGCTTCAAAACGACTGTACTCTACATAAAGACAGAAAAAGAGAAGAGGTTTCAGATTATTCTTTCACGTTACTTTTAGCAATAATCCAGACATTGTATTATTCAGGAGCTGGTGTGAGTTCATTCAATAAATTTGCTGCTCTGCATTAAAAGCAGGGAGTTTTACACTTGAATCCTCTTTGTTCATCTGATGAAAGGGAAAAGCACAGAATGAAAAAATAGAGACTGAAGGACAGCGGAGGATTTGTCTCAGTGATAATTATATTTCCCATCATTGTTCAACAAATAAAAGCAGTATTTAAACTTGTTTTTTCTTGTACTGTATGTAAAAAAAAAAAAATTCCCAGCATGCTGTATGAAAATAATTAGCTACAAACACAAAAATATCAACATTTTTTTACACAGACATAAATCCTGTATTGATAATATGTGTTTAATCTAATTTTATATTCAATTTGATCTGCACATCATTTATGGTAAATGGACTGTATTTATAGCACCTTTCTATCTGATCAAGATACTCAAAGCGCTTTACAACACAATCTGTGTCCTCATTTACCCATTCATACAGCTCTCTACTAGATCTCTACAAAGCTAATTGAACAAAACATTCTAAAGAGACTAATCAGAGCTTTATCACTTTCATACACCGATGGGACACACATTGGAGGCAATGAGGGGTTCAGTATCTTGCCCAGGGACACTTCGGCATGTGACTGCTAGTGGATTCGAACCCCCAACTCTTGCATTGGAGGATGACTGCTCTATCCTCTCAGCCACAGATATTAGATATGTTTTATCTAAGCATATGCTTTAAAAATGGACTAATTTATCCACTGGCAGACTTGAAGACAACACAGAAATACCTCAAAGTGCTTCAGTAGACACATGAGATGCTTGGTCCAAAAAATACCCCCCCCCCCCCCCAAAAAAAAAAGGTAAAAATAAAATCATTTATTGGGGGTGGGGGGGAGTCAGCTAAGACAACAGATGAAATTTAGCTATTGTGCTAATTCTTGCACATTAATTTTCTAATAATACTGATGTGCACTGTCCTTTTAAATAAAAATAAATGAAACAAGACTTCAAATATTTTATAAACAAAAATGTATCAAAATTATTCGGACGATCTACTTTATGCCTGTAAAAAGGCATGTACCAATGCTGACATTATCACACTCAACTGTAGAGATTCCAGTATTTTCTGTATTCACATCACTTTTTATTTGCAGCTCCTGAGTGTCATGGAGTTCTCTTCTCCTTCGCTGTGGCTGGTTCCCCTAATGAGCCACCTGGCTGCATTTAAGGACCAAGGCTGCTCGAGGATGACGCCGAGACGTTGTTTACTAATGGTATTCTGTGAGAGGCCAGAGTGCCTAGTGTAAATTGAGCTATTGTGAATGAATTCAGTTTTCCTTGTGCTCTTCAAGCTTGAAATTTGCCTTCATCTTCCAGTCAGAGTTTCCTTTAGACCGTCACCCCAAACCAACCCTCTACAGAAGTACAATTAAAAAGATCCCTACTCATCTCTTCTGGTCCAACCTGTCACTAATGATGGGCATGTGAAGCCTCATGAAGCAGCGAAGCTTTTCTTACAATTGTGCCAAAGATTCAAAGCTTCAAGGCTTCAGTGATGAAAATGTCTGGTGGACAACGGGAGCCACAACAATCTCGTGAGCGTGACTAAAGTGCTGACTCTGTTTCAATCACGTGGGTCAAGTGTATGTTTTGTTCATTTGTACAAAATATTGACTAAATTGGCATCACACATTAAAAATAAATACTTTTTAAAGATTTAGAAGTATAACAAAGTTCTATGTTTAAAAAAGTAAAACACTGTTTTAAACAATTTTACATATATATATATATAAATATAGCAGCACGGTGGCGCAACTGGTAGAGCTGCTGCCTCTCAGCGAGCAGGTCCTTGGTTCAAACCCCGGTCCAGGGGCCTT